CCAACAGTGATGACCACTTACAATCTCAGGAAGGAACTACACAGGGAGATACCTGTGCACTCGGATGGTATGCACTGAGCCTAATGCCTCTGCTCAGAGAAGTCCAGGTTAAACAGACAGAACCTGAAACAGAACCAGAATCAGACAGGGAACCCAACACTTATCCCAAACAAGTTTGGTATGCTGACGACTCAGCAGCAGGGGGTAAACTTGATCAACTCACGAAATGGTGGGAGGACCTTAAAGATCATGGTCCCATGTATGGGTATTACCCAAAACCCAGCAAGACATGGTTGATAGTGAAACCAGAGCATGCAACCAAAGCTAAGGAACTCTTTCCAGATGTTCAGATCACTACCAAAGGCCACCGTTATCTTGGGTCATATATTGGATCAGAAGAAGGGGTAAAAGAGTTCATACTAAAGGAGACCGAAAGTTGGAAAGCAGACATTCTTGGACTCGTCGAAATAGCTGCAAACGAACCCCAGCTAGCCTACTCCGCTTTCATCTACGGAACCTCCAAAAGATGGAATTTTGTTTGCCGTACAACCCCAGGGATTTCCGACCATCTGAAACACTTGGAATATTGTGTCAAGGAAGACTTTATACCAGCCATTATGGGCAAAAGTTTTGTGCCTGATCAAATCAGAAAAATAGCTTCACTTCCTGCAAGAATGGGCGGGCTGAGCATTCCAGACTGCACATCAACAGCAGAGATGGAGTACACTAACTCAGTAAATGCTACAAAACAGCTCACAGAAGAAGTTTTTCAACAGCTTACTACTTTCCAACTAAACGAAGAACTGCAGCATGACATCATAAGTGAAGTAAAGAAGCGTAAGGAAGAGCTTTACAAACACCAACGTGAAACTATTATGAATGAGGTATCCCCATCAACACAAAGGCAATTAGAACTCCTTAGTGAAAAAGGAGCATCCATTTGGTTATCCACACTCCCTCTAAAAGCATGTGGGTACGTCCTTAACAAACAAGAATTCTTTGATGCCCTCTCACTCAGATATAATCTTACACTGTCTACAGCTAACAGAAGTCCCCTATGTGTATGTGGAAATCAAAATCATATCAACCATACTCTAACCTGCAAAATCGGAGGCTACGTTTCACTTAGACACAATTCACTAAGAGATACAATAGCTGAACTCCTAACCACTGTTTGCAAAGACGTTGAAACAGAACCCCAGCTTCTCTCCGTTCCTCACACACTTGAACTATCTAATGGAACAAATAGACAGGATGGTGCAAGACTGGACATCAGTGCGAGATCGTTTTGGTCGCCGCTGGACAGGGCATTCACAGATTTAAGGGTACTTCACCCTCAAGCCCAGTCCAACAGTGACAAGAGCATCTCACAGATGTACCAATCTCACGAGAAAAGCAAAAAACGTGAGTACAATGACAGAGTCCTCAATGTTGAAAAGGCTACCTTCACGCCACTGGTGTTCAGTACTACAGGAGGAATGGCAACTGAGGCTTCACAGTTTCTAAAACATCTCGCTGAAAAGATCAGCCTAAAGAAAGGCCAACGGTATTGTGATGTGATGTCATTTGTCAGACGCAGACTGCGTTTTGATCTACTCAGAACCTGTATAATCTCTATCAGGGGGTACAGAGGTACCAGAACCCTTCCACCTACGGCAATAAGTGATTTGGACCTTAACCTGATCAACACTCTTAAACCCTAAAAGGTCATGGAGTGCTCTAGTTGGATGGGGGTCTAAACTGCTTTTTGTTGTGATGTGATTTAGTGGATTTTATATATAAAATAAATAAATAAATTCTAACATTTATTACACGCTTCGACATTAAAATATACCCAACAAAGATGTACATTAAAGTCATTCAAGCGAGACTTAGTGTTGAAATAGCAAGATTATGGACTTTTTAAACAGTTCAGATTTTATGAACAAATATTTGTATGAAGTTACCAAAATTATGCACTTTCATATCAGTTCAGACATTATGGACAAATATTAGAAATATTATCAAAAGCTAGTTGGAAATAAAACGTCTTTAGGGCATTTTTAAAACATTCTACAGATGATAATGATCTCACTGAGTAGGGTAGTTCATTCCAAATTTTTGGTCCACAAAACATAAATGCAGCATCTGTTCGTCTGAAATGAGGAGCAGGAGGAACTTTCAACAAATAAAAGTCATCATCTAGTCTGGAACTTCGTCTTCGTACTTCCCTTAGATTGACGTGTCCTTGTAAGTACTGAGGGGCTATGTTATTAAGACACTTGAAGACCAGAAGTGATATTTTGAACTTAATTCTGAACCGAACAGGCAGAAAGTGGAGCTTTTTGAGGTAAGGCATGATAGGTTCACGTATCTTTTTTCCGTAAAGACCAAAGATAAATCTAGCAGCATTGTTCTGTATCTTTTGTAGCTTATGGAGATTCTTTTCTGTTATACCATAATAGACTGAGTTGCAGTAGTCTATGAAACAGAGGATATTGGAGTGAACTAACTGAACTTTTAGGTCATGGGAAAGCTTCGAACCGATTCTTGCTAAGTCCCTTTGATTCAAATAACATACTTTGGAGACAGCATTTATTTGAGAGTCCAGATTCATTTGGTGATCGAAAAGGAATCCCAGGTTCTTGGCCTTGCTAACAGGGCAGATTGAGAGGTCTCCTAAATCCATTGTCTGGATTGGGCTGACATATATATTATTACAAAGGGTTTTATTTTTATTTTTACCTCAGTTTTTAAATTTGTACCATTTTTACAGAATTTTATATAGGGTCATTGCTATATTATGTGTATTATATTGTTTGAATATTTTATTAAGAAACAAAAAAAAAAAATTTATTATTATTATTCACTGCATGGGATTGATGTAACTGAATTTTCCTCCTTTTATTGGCTTTGAATTATAATGACCACTTAATTAGCAGGTGTACATGTGTATCAGTTGTTCCTGTCAATGAAGTGTGCAGAATGATTTGCAGGAGCTTTGATTTTAGACTGTTTGTTCGTCACATCCGCTATTCTGCTCAAGCCATTTTCTACCATTCTCCGAGATACTGTTCCAATTGATGACCACTTTGTGCTTGGTGTGACTGAAAGCTTCCTGTGATGCTGAAACACCCTTTAAATTTCAGATAAGAGGAGATACTTTTCACTAAAAGAATTGGCAATGTGAATGAGTTTTCAATCACATGAGTGATTTCTGTGGATAAGATGCTGATCATTTTTCTTGATATTACATGTACATACAGTACTTGATGGAGCCTGGTAAGATGTGTGCTGGACATGTAGAAATACTGCAGGAGATTATATTATACAGACTGCAGTGGAAAGGTACCTAGCAAGCACTTATCAAATCTGGTGTTTTCTTACTATCCTGACAGTATGCTCACTTACTTATATGGCATCAAACTAGGAGATAATGTATTCTTTAACTACGTGGTAGGTTCTAATCTTCACCTGCAGAGCAAGTACGTAGTAGTCAATGGAACCTGGTTACATTTGTGCTGGACATGAGGTAGCTACACGCTCACAGTGGTCATTAACGGGAAGGTCATTACATGTAAATATGTCAAGTAAAAAACAAGTTAGATATGTTTGATCTTGTGGAGAAGATGTAGAGTATTTATCTTGATATTACACCTACGTATTTTCCTTACTAGCAATCAAGAGGAACTAGCTACTACCAAGCAGGAATGTTTTGGAACAAAAGCATCTTTTGGGAACTTCAACCAACTTTGGTGCAGATGATGCGCATTCTTATTGACATTACACATACATATTTTGTGGCACTTTGAGAAAAAAAGATACGGAAATGTTACAGAGTTTTTTTGATGTACTGAGACATTAAGTTACTTCTCTGAGTACTCTAACCAACTCTCTAACTATCACCGAAAACAAACTAGCTACTACGAAGCAGAGGTTAGCTGAGACAAAAACTTCTCTAATACCTCTCATCAGCTCCCTCACTTATTGGAGTTCTTATTGAAATTACACTTACATATTGTGTATAACCTGAACAAAGAACTGAATAGCACTGAGTTCTTGTTGCAATAACAAATACACATTCGGAGGAGAAATGTTTAAGCTGAACATATCCAATAGAGTGTTGAGTAACACTGAGTTCTTGTTGATGTTGCACCTACATATAATTGTCTGGAGCTTAACTTATTGTGGACTGGAGGTAGGCTGTGTCTAGGAAACTATGTAGACGGTTAAATATTCGGTGAAGAACTCTATGACCTTAACATGTATAATAGAGTACTGGATAACTCTGAGATTAGAAGTCAGTCTCACGTGTGTTCAGCTGAGGAGGAGAGACTATACAGCAGCAGCAGAAATCTCAGATGAGAGACCATATTATTACAAGAAGATTGTTGCCGTGGAATAGGGTAGATATTTAAGTACTGGATAGCTGATATTAGAAAAATGTCATCTCACTAGCTACTACGAAGCAGGAGTTAGAAAAAGCAAAGGATTGTCTGTCCTCTCTAACAAGCCCCTCACTTATTGGAATTCTTATTGCAATTACACCTACATATTTGGAGGAGACCGTTATAAGTTGAACATTTACAGTAGAGTACTGAGTTGGACCAGCACTGTGACTGAGTTTTCAAGAGAATGTACTGAGCCATTAACTAACTGTCCCAGATTGCGTAAGAATGAGGGAGACTGGGAATACTGAACTGGATATTAGCCTGATATTATTATTACAATATGACATGCACAAATAAGATAATTAATCTATACCAAAACTGTTTACATACGATAATTAGTTTCATTGCTCTTTTAGTCTTAATACTATTTTAAATCTATTTCCTGAGTATCATTGATTTTACTTTTCATATGGCACAATAAGCAATATAAAAAATAACTGTTGTAAAAGTTGGTCAGATGTCATCTCTGCCAGTTTCAATGAAATTTTTAAACATGACATCATCATTTTGATGATCCAATGATACTGTAACTCTTGCCTTTACCAACCTTTACGAAACAAAACCACATTTTCCCAGCTAATGTCTGGTATCTATGTAGACCAACCTGAAATCAAGCAGAAGCCAGTGTCAACAGTTCGAGCACAGAACAGCCTGTGGTTGGTGAAGGTTCCTAAGTATGTAACTGATAGGTTGAGTAAGTGTGAACCTGGTAGCCAGTTTGGTGTTATTCAGACTCAGAGGAGCGCAGCTGGACAGGAGGTTATTTTTACTGCTCATCATCTCAACTACTACTTTGTTATCTATTTTTCCTTTTACAGGGTTAGGTGGCCGAGTGGTTACAGCGTTCGTTGTAGTGTATCGTAAAACACAGTAGTATTATACAGGGTGGCCCAGAAGTAACTACCCACACGGAACCCTTTAATAACTCACGTAATTCGTATTAGAATTGCTCGAAAATTTCAGAGAATATAGATATGGGTCAAACTTAGATTTCCTGAAAGATTCGAGCAATTCTAATACGAATTCTAATACGAATTACGTGAGTTTTTAAAGGGTTGTGTGTGGGTAGTAACTTCTGGGCCACCCTGTAGTACTATATTACCAGTATGTCTGTTTGAACGGAATCTTCATCATCACTTAAAAATCTTATCGATGTTTTTTAAATGTACTGATTGATGCATGAAGTGTTTGGTGGCTGTAGTTATGTTAAGATTGAATTTGAACTAAAAAATGTAAACTCCAAATGATAAATTGGTTCTTGAATCTAACCAGCTTTCATTGTTATAAATTGTTGAATCTGTAAAATTTGCTAAAATTAAATTTCTTGTTTCATCGAATTTCTTGGTTCATTGAGCTGATCAGTACGTGTTTCAGTTCACATTTGAAGTGGACCCGAAGCTGTGTGAGCAGAGTAATGGTCTCCCAGCATGTCCCTCTGTTCACACCATGAAACTTGGAACACTTGCAGGTAATCATCTTAGTAGATTTAGGAGCACTATCTACATCTAAGTAGATTTAGGAGTGCACTCTGTTATTACCTGTGCTGATAATCGCTATTTTTACTACAATTAAACTAGAGAGGATCAGGAGTAGTATGCTTATTTCAAAACATTATTGACACTAAACAGCCTGAAAGTTTAGAATCCCGCTGCACTGAATACCAGTGACTCCTGGCATGCATTTAGAATCTGGTTGTAAAGGAGCCTTCACTTTGACTAACCCCAACTGATCCATTATTGTAGGTGTTAACAGAAATCTAGCTGTGTACAGTGACACGGAGGATGCCATTAACATTGAGGGAATTGTCAAGACCAAGTTCGATGTCATGCAGCGCAGTGACCCTAAATCCTCTCTGTCTTATATGAAGTTGAAACGGTACATCTTATTTCACTATAGTTGTATTTGAATTTCTGCTTTTAACATTAATCTTTTAAGATTGTATCACGGAAGCTATGCTTCGGGACTTATTCTTGGTATCTTTTTAAGGAAAACTATTTAAACTATTTTAGTCAAGGTAGTGTTCACTTATTTATTGTATCTAGGTTTGAAGCGGAGAAAAAGATGGACCCTGGACGTAAAATAGTGATCACCAACAAATCTCATAACAACTTTAAACCTTCCAATGTTTCAAGAGAACAGGTAATTAGTGGAAGAGCCCACATACAATTTCTACCATTTGACGATACAAAATATGCTGATGTCGAGAATAACTAGATATTTGGCATCTTTGTGAAATATTATGTAGGGTCGGAACGATAATTTGTGGCCTGATGGTCATTCAAGAAAATTTTTTCTAAAATCTCTTATTATATTCTGATCATTTTACGTTTATCAAAGCTTTCTTTGGAAATAGAACTTTGAGTAACTCAATCGTATTTGTGTTATCCTCAGTGACCTTCTAAGATGGTCATTCAAGAAAAGTTCAGTCAAAACAGTGAAATTTGGGTCGCGGAAAGCTGAAATTCGAATATGTCCTACCGGTAGGACATATTCAAAATTTTCATTGCATAAAAGTTTTCTCTGATATATATATAATTTATTTAATCCATTAATAACCTGAATAACCTGCTTTTCAGATGTACACAACGAAAGCTGAGCGAGAAGAGAAGCTGCGGAATAAGAGGACGAGACTTGACGCGGACGCGGTGGAAAGTATGATACTGCGCGCTTTCAAGAAAAACCAGTACATATCACAGAAACATCTCGTATCAATAACTGAACAGCCTGAGGTTTGTACCTTCAGATAGTCCTTAACATGTTTTTTGAACACTTAATGATGAAGTTGCTATCACAAAAAAATTCTGCTTTGTGAGCTATATGTTTATACTTTTCTTCTTCTCTCTGGTATGTACTGCTTTGTGAGCTATATGTTTATACTTTTCTTCTTCTCTCTAGTATGTACTGCTTTGGGTGGCAGATACTCAGATACTGCACGTTTTATTCCTGGAAACAAGGGATGACTCACTTTTAAAACTTCCGGCCATGTTTTTTTTCTCCTTTTCTGTAAACTGAAAATAACTTGAACAGTCGAAAAAACTGTAATTCCTAATATTATACTATTATAGCGAAACAGAAACCTTTACCATCTGAAATATTGTCAGAATACCACCATTAGGGTAGTAATTAGGGTGGTAATTAGGGCACGGTAATTAGGGTGCTGCCACCTCCATAGCAGAGGTAGGAGGGACTGATATTACTGATTTCCAATTTATCACACAAAACTCTCCTCCCCAGGCATATCTTAAAGGATTCCTACACAAAATGTGTGTGTACAACCAGAAGACCCCTCACAAGAACACGTGGGAGCTGAAACCAGAGTACCGGTACTATGAGACTGATGGTCAGGGACCTTCTGAGGAAACTTAGTGGGTCCTCACTGAAAGGGGGGGCGTTTTTTGAGTGGAGCGGGGGGGGGGGGGGGGGGGGGCAAAAAGTAACGTTACGCCACTGGGGCTCAGCAGTCTGTTAGGGGTCGTTCACATATTACGTAATCATTTTTTGGAACATTTTTACCCCCCCCCCCCGTAATCAGTTTTAAAATTACACTAGCGTAATCATTCGGAAACCCCCCCCCCCCTCAGCTGATTACGTAATATGTGAACGAACTTTTATAAAACTTATTCACATTCTTGTGATGATCTGGCGGATGTGGCATCAGTTTTATGTTTGAAGATTAAAGCGTGTGATATCTTCAGAAAGTGAGCTTATAGTTAAAATACGTTATATTTTTTGAAGGCTCAAAAAGTCGATGCTTTCCAATTAATTACCATTTGAGTTTCACACGACGATTTATATGAGGCCTGAGCCCTATCACCCATGGACATTGGACAAGTATTGTTTATTTGTATCAGATATTAAATATGGACATTCAATTCGACTTGGCTGGGTTATGTTTCAAGTCATGGGTTATTTGTTCAATATTATTTCCATCGTGCATTTTTATATTGCCTGCTTTAAAGAAACACAATATTAAGTTATCCCAACATACAGACAACCTAGTCTTAATTAGGCGCCATTCTAAGCAACACGATGAACCATATTACAGTGTAATGGCTAAAAGAAACCTCACCCATGCAATGGCTGCCACATAACGTCATGTACTCAGGAGCAGAAAAAGTGCCTTATATTGAATGTGGTCAAGACGGTTCTATAGAATTAATTAAAGAACTAACGGTAGACATTAGACAAATCTCAAACTATTTTATTTTTATTTGATTTTATATTCTTATTTAAAATTGTTCAAAATTGCTTCTTCTCTGATTAAAAAAAATGTATTCATAACAGGGACAAAAGGAAATCGCGGCATGTACGGAATCGCGATTTTTCCCATTATTTGCGACAAATTTTATGTATAGTTCGCCGCGAAATCCTTTTGTCCCTGATTCATAAGTGTCTATGACAGAACGTCAACAGAACTGCTCCGTATAAACATATAATCATGAACTGAAGTATGAGACTGTTAAATGCTTCTGTAAATTTTATCTAAATTTACATTATCCCTAGGAAATATCACAATGGCAGAAGGTATATCAGTGCCAATGAATTTCGGGATCCGGTTTCTGGACTCTCCGACCCACAGTACCCTGGAACTAAAAACAAGTCAAGGGAAAATAGTGAGAGCCAGCTCAGTGATCCTATCATTCAACAGTCCCGTGATTGATCACATGACCACAACTCTACATCTGACCTGTGTTGATATGGAGGAGTTCAGTGAGGAAGCTGTGAGATATTTTGTCCACGCTGTGTACACCGCTGAAACTCCACTCATCCCTGGAGATATGTTTAGAGATATTAACAAGATGAGTCACGTGTTCAAAGTCACGTGGTTAGTTGACAGATGTGTCGGACTTTTCTCTCAGCTTGCTGATGCTAACTTACAGCCTTCTTACACAAACCTCCGTTTCATTTTCGAGGAAGCTGTTTTTGCTCTCACCAAACTTAACTGTCGGAAACTAAAGGAAATAGTTTTCGCAAAAATAAAGTCATCAAACATGACAAAAGAGTTCATTGCCAAGTATATGGAGGACCTTTCTGATCGGTCAGCACTTCAAACAGATTCAATTATCGAGTTAGCTGGATCTAACGTTCAATGGATTATTGAGCCATTTGCTCAATACCTGATGAACAAGGTTGTTGCTGAGGAAGCGGGCATTCATCCTAACTGTAAGCACATTCTTCACATTTGCGACTTGTCAAAATGGCAAGAGAAACACGCTGCTTTATTTGAAAATATGTTTGATTCTCTGGAGAAGTTAGCAGCTGGATGTTCTGAGGATCTGATTTGGGTTTTACAGCTACACAGAAATTTGTGCAAGCGAGCTCCCACTAAATCACTGGGATCGGATGACTCACCGCATGCATCCACATCAGTACGTTCTACAACTTCTGGAGGATCTGTAATTGGTACATCCGCTCAATTAGTTGACAAGAAACTTCACGAGAACGAAATTCCTAATTTGTTCCACACGTTGGACTGCGATCAAACGTTCGATGAACTAATTGATTGGATGTCTACTTCTAAGCAAGTCAGAAATCTTCTGATGTTCATTGAAGGTATCTGGACTTGGATGGTTAAGAATTGGAACCACCCTGTAATCGACTGTTCAACTACTTTGATGGACAGGATTGGAAATATAAGAAGAGAGCGAGGATGGAATGTTGTTCCATGTAACTATTTGAATGTTATGCGCTCTAGTAATAACTGGGTTTACTTCGTAACAGCAGTCAGAAATCGTCCAGACATTTGTTCGATTGCAGCTGATTCCGATGAGTTTTGGGTGGATGTGTACTGCAAAGGAAAACACAGCTTTGATTGTCTTTTTTCCCCTTACAATTACAGGCCATTCACCAGGATCCTTTCATATCCACATAGCAATCATCCTGGTTTGGAGCCTTGTACCAGACGTGACAAGCAGGCTTCATGTGGATTTACATTGAAGGTATGCAACAATGATGGGGAACTTTCCTTCAGACTTAATACTAATCCTGATAGTAACGGAAGTTTACATTTTCACAAAGAGTTCGAAGCGAAAGGAATGCACCTCGTAATCCGAGATGATGCTGGAAAATGCTTTCCGATCAGTTGGTTTGGTAGACCAACAATTTCTAACAATACATTCACCTGGAAATATTCTCCAGTCCAAAAGAGACAGCAGTTTTGGTTTGTAGTTTTGATATCTTTATCATGATTTAATTAGTCAATTGTTTATTGTTTATGATTACAACGGTGGAATGATGGATTCAACGAACATGATTCCATAAAGATAACAATTTTTGACGAAAGTGAGTTGTTGTTCTTTGGAACCCTTTCCACATTACCGATAAATGTTTACAACAGCGTTTTAAAAATAAATACTGCTGAGTGCTGACCAACTAATGATAGCCATTGCATTGTTATTGATTATGTTTTATCTGTAAATAATTTGTATAATTTCTACTTTGAATATGAAATTTGATATGATAAATTATTTATGATCTGTAGACAATTCATTTATGATATCTTGGTGTCTCAACATTTCTTTTCCCCATATAGGGCTTAACAATTAACATGCATAATGCAAACAAACGAAATCACGATTTACCGCGGATGTAGTCTAACAGTAAATCGGGGTTTTTTATTCACTGTATTGATCTTTTATTTTTTAAAGATGGTCATAGTCTCTCCATTTGAGCATCTTTTGTAATCCTGACATGCGCACAGGAAATAAAGCACATACACAAAGCTGAAAACAAAAAGCTTCACATCTTTTAATGACTGCGCTGTTTTAGAACTTTAGAACTTAAATTAAATATAAAATACAAGTTAGATATTATTGTTACATGATACCAGTACATTATTGGTCACACTGATAACTGTTTCGCGTTTAAGGATCAATGAAGCTCTGTCACATTCTTTCAGCAGATCAGTAAATTGAACTTCATATTCCACCACAATGCCCTACGTTTCTGGAGGTAAGAAATTTAAGATATTTAAAAATATTTTGCCAGCAACTTTTTAAAAATCATCATTTTTGACATGTTTCTAATATAAGTCATATTTTTGAATCATTATAAACTGATGGTGTCATTTCAACCGTTTTGGCAAGATGTCTTTGTCATAGTACTACGTTAGGTACTTTAGGTTAGTTTGGCAGGGATCCCTTCTGGACAACAGTATCTAGTACGTCCTCCAATCATTCCCGGTCCAAATCTTTTTGTAGATTCCATTCAAAGAGTGAGTTGTTGGTGATGACGGTGTTTCATTTGGTTGGATGACCTCTCCAAAAATTGAGCAATTGATACCTTGAAGGGTCCTAGAGCAGTTAGGCTGTTTACTTGTCGTGGGAGGAACTTAAGAACGTTGAAACTTTAGATCCATCATTTTAGATCTCGCTAGCTTTGCAGTTTGCACGTGCTATTTGCATAAAATATTCTCAATGATATTATCTTCAGGTCGTGTTCACGACTCACGCCCTATTGATGGACTTGGTTCAGTTAAAGACTTATTTTGGGGTGTTTTAAACTTCTGCTATTTATTGTAAGTATTTGTGAGTTATTTAGTATTTAATTATTCACAATTCGATCGTTACATTGACATCACTAGTTGTAGAGAGATTTTGCATGTTTGTTATGACACGTTTCAGTGGCGAACAACTAAGAATGTTTATCATGTACGATTTAATCAGATCCCAGCAGTGCTGTTTTCAATAGATCAGGTATACACCTGAAATTTATCTTTTATCAGCAAATATTTCAGTTTCCTGTCCTTAGTATCGGTGAGTTATTTACATTTGCATAACACTAAATTTTCAATGAAATAAAGGTACATATCAGGTTTAAATGTTTGTCAGTCGTTTATCGGGATCTTTCCCTCCCTTCCAAGTCGATAAAATGGAGTTGAAATTAATTGGATATTTGATTTCTTAACTTTATCATCATATTTTACATCCGACTATTTATTATTTATGAAAGTCATATATGTAGAGAATGTTTGACGTGGAAAATTTATCATTAAATAAATTATGCAATATAAGGCAATCTGATCAACTCTCAATGTTTAATAATAAAGAGCAATTATTTCAGCCAAGCAGTTCGCCGTCTAGAATAGGAGGAAACGGCCAGAGCGCTCCAAAGGCTCCTAAAAGGTTCGTTGTTAACATTAGGACACCTTATTTAACAGGAGATACCTTAATTAGTTTACATTGACTTTTGTGCTTTCATGACAAGTTGTACTTCCTTACTTTTGCTTGATAATAATTCATTATATTTCAGGAGAATGGGAGGTTTCGGTGGGGGTAGAGGCTCAGGTAACTAATTCACTTTTATTCAAAGCTCATCTGTTGTCTCTGCGCTGATACTCAAGCAGAATGGGTGAATCCCGTGACTCACAAATTAATTTTTTCCAACTGAACAACGTCGCCTACGAACATTTTCAATCGTAAAATTGTCAGTTTATATTTGAGCGTACTATCATAACTCGATGGAGCTTCGCCTATTTTCTGTTGTATATGTAGTATGTACCTACCCAAGCCCGGTGGCCACTTTTATTTCATGTTCAAACTATTGTATGAGGGCTGAGATGTCATGTGATAAGCCTATCCGTGTAAATGTCAGGGTGGAATGCTAAACAGTAACGCGCCAAAACATCGCATATTTTTGTGAGGTATGTCGCGCGCACGTACGGTCTCGTTTGAAATTTGGCAGACTGCGTTTTTACATGACATACGTATACCACTGGTTACGTATACGTTATTTTTGTCATGGATTATATTAAACGAATATTCAGCACTCGTACTTTTAAGTAGGTTATTAACGATATCTTAAAGTGCAATACAGTTGTAGAGTTGATTTGATTAAGATGTTTGTTAAGTTTTCGTGAACACACTTGGAGATATCACTTGACCCGTAATTCCGTTGACACACGCTGCAACCCCTTTTGATCACCGGCCGGCCGGAGTGCACGTGAAGCAGTAATTCCGGTGCTGGCTATTTAGGTTTATAACTGTAGAAGCAATTCACATTGAATTTGCTTTACATTCTTTTAACATTATCTTTCATGTATTTAAGATTGATAAACATCAATAAAATTAACGAGAGTATAGTTATTAACTATACTCTCGTTAATTTTTAATAACTATTAGTTAAACTTTGGTAAAGATAAAATTTAATTGGTAAGTTTATTTTTGGTTTGAAGAGCCTACTGAACACGCAGGTGTTATAAACATGATAAACATTAGAAGTAAAAAATAAAAAATGAGTTTATAAAATGTAAAGTTGTCATAAAGTCAAATCTTGAGCTATGGACAGGAGCATATCGAGTGTTACCTTAGATCAGTATTTCTAAAGATTTTCATCGTCTTAATAACCTAGGAAAATCGTCCTCATACTTTCGACCCCAGCAGAAGATAGCCTTGCAGCACGTCACATTCTTTGCGCTCTTGTCACATTTCTTACTCAAATTAGCGCAGGTATTATCCCCGATGTTACTAGCCTGATCCTCGCTGGCACATGATCTCTCTGTCCACTCTTCCTTCAAGCACTTTCTGTTCATTTTCTTGTACGCTCCCGGACACTGTTTCTTTTTCTGTTTTGTTTGCTTTTCTTCAATATCCTTTTCGTCGGGAGCCCCTTCCTCTGGTACTTTCTCCTCTTTTGGAATTACCTCTCCATTATTAGCAAAATCTTCCCTCAACTTTCGTCCCCAACAAAATATAGCCTTACAGCATGCCACACCATTCTTTTCACATTTCTTACTCCAAATCCCACAAGAATTATTCCCTGTATCAGTAGCTCCATCCTGATTAGCACAAGACATCTCTGTCCATTCCGCCTCTAAACACTTCCTGTTCATCTTCTTGTACGATCCCTGGCAACGTTTCTTTTTTGACTTTTCTTGTGCTATAGATGCCTTTTCTTCTTTTGGCGCTGTCTCTTCTTCAGATATTGTTCCTTCTCTGAGATCAGGAAATTCTGAAAACAACTTTCGCCCCCAACAATAAATAGCCTTACAGCACTGCTTTTTCTTCCCTTCACTTTCACAACGTTTACTTAAACTGCCACAAGAGTATTTACCAATATTGGTGGCACCGTCTTCATTGGCACATTCCAACTTTTTCCATTCTTCCTGCATGCACATCTCACTCATTTCTTTGTAGTTGTTGGTATTTGGGCAAATATTCTCCTCCTCTTCCTCCTCCTCCTCATCCGGCATGCTTTTCATATCATCTGGAGCGGCTTCGTCATCTACTGTCGGCTCTTCTGTCTCCTCTTCACTCACCATCTTTTCATCCGGCATGCTTTTCATATCATCTGGCGCGGCTTCGTCATCTACTGTCGGCTCTTCTGTCTCCTCTTCACTCACCATCTCTTCATCCGGCATGCTTTTCATATCATCTGGCGCGGCTTCGTCATCTACTGTCGGCTCTTCTGTCTCCTCTTCACTCACCATCTTTTCATCCGGCATGCTTTTCATATCATCTGGCGCGGCTTCGTCATCTACTGTCGGCTCTTCTGTCTCCTCTTCACTCACCATCTCTTCTTCTGATAAAACATTTTGTTACACCAGAGAATGGATGGACTCATCAATTAGGTATAATTACTCAATAGGTAAAATTAGGTATAAATACAACCGGCTTATTGAACAGATTCCCAAAATTCCAAATGGAAACTAACCCTTGGGAACGGTCCTGGTTTTCAGGGTGATTGTATACATGCAGCTTTCGGCAATATTGTAGGTTTCACAGAAGTATTCTCCCAGATCCCCCCTCTTCAGACTATCAGTTGTGAGGTTGTTTCCACTTACTTTCAGCGAACTGATTGGGGATGGTTACTATGGTTACTATGGTTACTATGGTTACTATGGTTACTTACAGTGATATGGTTACTTACAGTGATATGAACTGAGTAAGAATTCGATATATATATAGTCTGCAAGTTCTAGATTGAGATTACTGAACTAAAGCACCTGAAACATGTACATGATATACATAAAAAATGCGAAATGCGAAAATAGTTCCTTAAGTATAGCAGATATATACGAATACTAGATTAGAAGATACTAAGTATTTAATTAATTAACTACTTAATTAACAAATGTACTAACCTAGAAATATTGTTGTAGCGCCACCGGACACTCTCCTCGGGATACGCTGACTCAGACCGGGGACACGTTAACTGTACAGGCTCTTCAAGGTCTAACGTTATCTCTTTTGCTAACTTCCCGGTATGGCAGATCAGGTGGTTAACCAGAATGGTAATTTCAGGGCTGCTTACAAACTCAGCAACGTTCATTAACTTCAGCTGGAATGTAGTCTCATGGTCCGCTAAACTCAGGTTATCGACACTTAAAGAGTAGTTGTATCTGTAATCATTGTGGTCCAGTCTTGTCTCTATTCTGCTAGAAGACCCCTCGTTGACTGGCTCGAACTCTTCACCCTGAGCAGATCGTACCCACAGTGCTGTGGGGGCAGGGACAGCCACAGCAGACACCTCCACTACAACAGAGGACCCTATCTCCCCGGTCACGTGAGTGTTGGGGACTACGAAGGCACTGGGTTGTATCACCTCAACACTTAGTTCCCCTGAAACACTCTGGTGAGGTTGGAAAGGGAATGTGCCTTCTACCATTATCTCGTTAACAGAAGTACAGTAGTAATCCCCGGCGTCCTCTTGTGTTGCACTTTCTATTACCAGCTCTAGGTGGGTGTCATCGTGTCGCACCTGGTCATATCGGAGAGTTGTTATTGCAATACTATTAATATTAATCTAAAGGTCTTATTTCATTATTTAGTGAATCAAGAACGAAACTTTTTCATTCATATTTGAAAATAACGTGATCGAATTTAGAGAGTAATGATAGACTTGCTATACTCAGATATTATACAACATACCTGGTAGCCGGCAGTATTTTCTATCAACTCTGGTTCCTCCCCAACTCTGTTTCTGAACATGGTGACCTTGGCCGGTGGGAAGCTGGCAGGTATACCACATGACAATGTCACGGCTTCCCCGACTACTATTTGGGTTGATTCTGGGCCTGTTGCTCGCTCGTATCAAAATCTGGGGTACATTCGGGTGCAAAGTTAAAAAAGAACTGATTTAAAATAATCACTCGGAAAAATGGATATAGAGATAAGATAAGAGATCGGAACAATCCATCGAAAGCTTTCTCATTTTTCAGAAATAAATACTTACTTACAGTTGACAGTAACTTCAGCAGGAGCGAATACATTTTTAGTTCCATCTCTTCCAAAGCAGGTGTATTTGCCGGAATCGTATTTATCTACCCCAGATATAACAAGGTGTCCACTGTCCCGCTGTTCCCATTTCCCTGATGCTAACTTCGCGACTTCGTTGACGCGGGCTTGTTTGTTGCTTGTTGTTCTGTACCGCCTGACGGGTAATGGAACTTTATAGTTCTATTCCACGAAATTCAAAAAGTCAAATTTGTTCAAAAACAATAAAACTTTAATTAAAAACGAACACAACATAGAATAATGAATGAAAAATTGACCGTAGAAAATAAAAAGAACAATCGAACAAAGAAGTGGATACGACACAAGTCATGTCACTACAAGTCCTAACTTAAGAATAAACTAATTAACTAATTAATGGACTAATCAACTAATTAAATTCCCCCTCACTGCTCACCAGCCGTAAGTTTCAGCAGGTCTGTTAAACTCACAAACAAGAGTCACAGTACTTCCCACCACTGTTGATACACTTTCCGGTTTTTTCACAATACTCAGATCAGGAACAGCAACTGAAAATATATAATTAATATATTAAATATATTAGATATATATACGAAGCATATTTTTCAAGTTTAAGGGTTGGGGTGGGGGCTAGCAGGCTGGTCTATCGCATAGATGGTGTTGATACAGATTACCATAAATTACCATAATATATCGCAAGTGTAAATGATAAGAACTAATGGCTGCCGGAAAGTTGTGCCTTTTCTCACCCAATACAGATCAAGTTACCACGGGAAGATGACGAATTGAAACCAATAAAAAACTGCTTAATCAGATAGGACAGTTGCGCTCTGTTAATCATGAAATCCTATTTTGTGAGCTTCAGATCATACAGACCCTGTTAACCGAGTTACTTTAACATCCAGTTTTGAGGCTGCAAAGTCACGATTATAATCTGACTTGATTTGCTGAATTCTTATCCAATTAAATAACAGTATCTTTTATTTTCTAAAATCGTGCAGGAAGTTTAAATTTCTCCCCCCCCCCCCCCCCCAAAAAAAATTAATGACTTAGCTGGGAACGGGACAAAATCTTGGAAATATTTTGTGTCCGAACTGATTCATGCCCTTATCACGAAACAAGCTCAATGCACAAGTACCGTCACGTGAGTTGTGACGTCACGTGAGTTGTGACGTCACAAATTTATTGTGTAACACTCACCTATCATCTCTGCGACTGAAAGATGGTGGATACTAAATCCAGCTCCTGTCCTCTGAATCATAACACTGTCCCCGTATTTGCATTCCTCAGAAGGCGGCAGATACCCCGGCACTTCCCCCTCAACACTGATAACAAGGGTGAAGAACCCACAACTCTCTGCATTACCCTCACACGTACAACTGCTATCAGTACATGTCCACGTGTTAGCAACACCACCTGTCTTCCAGTACCTTAATAGATTTGGTTATGCCCTTATAAGGAAACATGCCCTTATAAGGAAACATGCCCTTGTAAGGCTAGATTGGATTGACTATTTTATTGTTTAATTATGTGCGTTGATATAACTCCGGTTTTTAGTGAGTCTGGGTTGGCTAAATATTGTTGTAATTACCTCACTATCTGTCGAACGCAATGAACTTGCTCCAGTTTGAACTTCAACCAGGCTTCACCGTCACTTCCAGGTAGTGTCCAGGACTTTGTGACCATGTCTGAGTCTACAGCGAATGTAGCAGAGAACTGGGATTCGTCACGGTTTTTTGTTTTTGAGTGTTTGGCACTTGTTACAGTTACTTCATTGGGAATATCTGAAATAAAGTTGTGCCGCTTACTGTGCGGTTCGGGGCAAAAAAGGTTGTCATGGTAATTCTGATGAAAACCTGGGGGGGGGGGGGGGGGGGGGGGGGGGGGCCAAACCTTTTCCTGTGTCGACTGATTCATCAAACAAACAATCTTTACCAACCTGTACCGCTAGCAGATCCTAGGATGCAGATCCAACATATCAACACTAGTGCTTTCAACATTGTTCCCTGTATTAACTGCACGTGCACAGGGCCTATTTCTACTAGAATGTACTGTGTTAATTATATTAATAAATTAAGTATAACGAAACTAAATGTGAGGTGTAACTTAATTAATAAAATATTTCGGAACTTCTCGAAATGCTGGCGGTAGCACTTTGATGACAAACTAAAATTCTAATTACTGGGAGGACCATAGATAACGAATATCATGCAAGTTTCGATACAGGTTCCCAAATCCCGACGAGAATAAGTATTTGTTAACCTTCTAATAATAACATCATCTCCTCCTCTTTTCAAAAAGGGGCACTGAACACCTCTCGAACAAAAATTCACCCAACAGTTATCTAATTTTCTAATTATCCTATAGAATTTGTACTGAGTCTGGATTCAGGATTGCTAACGGAGCAGCCTCCTCTATATAGTATAATATATATCTCGTCTAAGCTATGCTTGGTGTAGCGCTCGTTGGGATAGTATAGGAATTCTAATTCCTATAAGTTGGGAATGAGGTAATTGTCTGTTCACAGATCACCCTCTAGAAACATTTCCTGTAGATTCTTGGTATATACATTTGACAGAGCAAATTGCGGAGTGAGCCCAGTGTGCCCAGCCTTGCGAACTCGGTGGATGTCCTTGCTGTGCGGCAGTGTTAAACAAGGAACTGAAACCGAGGGGTTCCGTTCAGGCCCTTCACACTTTGTGTCTGTCTGGTTCTAATATACCGTTACAATAATGAATTTAATATATTGTAACGTATTTTTATCATGAATTCCTATTATTCTTCTAACCGCATTACAAAGAGGGCTGAATAACTATCATATTCCGTAATTTAAGACGACATTGCAGAAACAAAACGAAATTATCAATAATGGTTACTGACTTCTGCACAGAGAGACAGAGAGAGAGAAAGAGAGCGAGAAAGCGGTGAAAGACCGTCTACAGTATACACTTATGACCTATCTGTCATGAATACTTTTAAAATATTTAAGAAGCATCCCCAAGAGTTTACATCGTGATTTAATTCGATGCACGGAACAGAAACACTGGGATCATTAGGCGAGATTCTGGGAGATTCAGCAAACTAAGTTAGTTCACTGGTATTTACAGGAGGGTCAGTAAAAGCACGTACAGGCGGGAAAATTACGTGCGTCTCTCTCCCCTGTAGCACTAGGAGTAAGCAGTGTTCTAGAGCTAAATCTAGTTTTTGAGTCTCAGGATAAGTATGACCATGCACTAATTTATCAAAGCAAAGTCTTCATGGTCAGTTGAAAGCTAATCAAACGGAAAATAAACAATTTAACCTGTAGAGGACATCAACTTCAACGTTAACTAATATTAACTAACATCAAAATTAACTAACGCCGGTTAAAAGTTCTCATCAGTGGATCTCATCAGTGGGTCTCATTAGTGACTTGATATGTTAATTGTTTATCTAATGGCTCATTTCAACTTGAAACTTGACACGCATTACACCCTGTATTTATAGCTCTAATAAGATGATGACTTATTTGGATAGTCGGTCTGTCAGTGTGAACACACAGAAACCAGTAATGTTATGATAAGTAAATGTAGGGTCAAATAGCTGATAAACCACTAGGAAACTTAACCACTAGCCAATGGGAAATATGGGAATCATTAACAGTCCTATAGTTGCAGATGGGAGCCTATCACTGCACTGCTTAATTAGGCTCTAATGCATGTTGAAAATAAGTACATGGTAACATTTTACACCCTGTCAGAAAAGTATGCATATAATCAACGCTTGACACTCCCGCGTCCCCTGTATTCACATTCCTCACAATATCTGAATATCTGCTCCACCCTTTACTGGCAATCTAGAGAACTATAGTAGTACTAGTGTAAGCCGTGCCTACGGCCGGGACTTCACTATCGCAGTTGAATTGCAAAAGTATAAACAGTGAAAACGTTAAGATTGTGCAAAAGTATAAACTCGCTCAGTTGAAACCGACCGCACGAGAGTAAATTTAATTCTGAGCCCCCATCACGTAATACGTATCCAATAATAATACATGATAGTTAATAAGGCTCCACTACCGAATTACCTAATTGTGTACAAAGCAGTAATTAGGGGAGCTGTAAATGGGGAGAGAGAGAGTGAGAGAGAGTGTGAGAGAGGGACAAAAAGTGAGTCACTTTGATATCACATTTGCAGTACAAAACCATCATTTAAACCACTTACCACCGGCCGATTTAAATCACTTTGCACATTGGCTTCGTCAGAGTTTTGTCGAAACCATACCGGAAAAACCAGTCCCATAAGTCTTTCCGTTTTCTTGATTAAACCGTTAGGAAATTACCCACACACACACACCCACAGATTGACTGGGATTATTAGTATTGATAATAGGTTGGTGAAAGTGTTCAATACATATACATCTATACATGATATACGTTGAATAGATACCGGGCGCTACGGGAGACGGGAGGTTATCCAAATTCACTAGTGACTACAAGTGACTAAAAGTGACTACAAGTGACTACAAGTGACTACAAGTGACTACAAGTGACTACAAGTGACTACAAGTGACTACAAGTCTACGAAACTAAACCAGTAAACCGGGCCCAACAAATCGTCTTCCTACCGTGCAAGCTGTGCTCTCAGAGGATTCTGCAGGGAGACTGAATATGTAATTATCCTGCAAAGGACCGCACTGTGAAGTGTGTGATAAATTAGATCAACCTATATAGAGCACTACCTGGTTACAGTGTAGTGGGATCAGTTACACTGTTACCTCCTTCCGTTAAAATCACGTCCCTCTATATTCTTGTGATGCCTGCGGTGGGGATACTACAAGCGACTAGAACTTAGAAGTGACTAAAAGTGACTAAAAGTGACTAAAAGTGACTGCAAGTCACTACAAGTTGCTACAAGTGACTACAAGTGACTACATATTTATAAAAATGACTACAACTGGCTAAAAGTGACTGAAAATGACGGAAAATGACTGAAAGCGACTAAAAGTGACTAAAAACTTCTACAAGTTTCTACAAACTTCTACAAAATAAATCAAGAAAAATCTTGATTTTCCCAGTTAGGAAAAGGAATACTATCCAGACCCCAGAGTTTTGATATGTAGACTGACTATTTAAGGTACCGTCTAGCTAATCGAGTGTTTCTCAAATGTTCGGTTTTATCTTTTTATTCAGAATTTATTCCACCAAAAATAACTTTAAATGCATTTTATATTCCGAGCAATTGTATTAACTTGATCGGTTGTAATCTTCGTCGTTATTTTACGGAACATTCATCATATAACCGCCAATTTATTTTTATCTGATTCATATTCGATCATACTTCAGAGCTGCAGAGCAATTCTTTTTAATGACTGCGAATAAAACGATTAAGTTATTCACGAAAAAGTACGACGAATGCAATTTTGCTGCATTAAATGGAGATAATAGAATATTTCGAAACATACTAATGTAACAAAAATAAATATTGTAAATTAATATCATAATATAAATATCATATTTAAAAAAGGTCATATTATAGCATCTGAACCCAAAGTTTGTCAGTTCATTTCTTTAATAATTACCAATTGGGACAGGACAGTGTTAATAGTGGTTTTACGATAGTAAGTTCTCAAGAAATCTATCAAAAGACCACCAGAACAAAAAATATTTATACAGGTTATAGGCACAATGTTTTTTTCAGTCTAAAATTAATGAAGAGATTCACAGTACTTCAGTTATTCATAACATAGCCTTACACAGCACAAAACAGACGGACACTCTCAGAATGTGAACAGTCATGATAGGTTTGATAAGTACAGGATTCCCAGTAAGTATTACTGCAGCTCACTTCATCTAGTCCGATCACGTATTCATAGGTTCCACTTGAGTCTCCAGAATTCCAATTTATTGCTCTGGTGAATCCCATTTCTGTACAAATAGCAGCAGCTGAATAGTCGCTGAATCCATCGTCACATACTAACATTCCGTTGTAGAGGAGTAAACCATTTGAGAGTAAACTAAATGGACCTGTTTTGGGAATAATTTGTTCTTTATTTTACAAAATTATGATAGTTTTGAGTCTAATAGTAATACCATTTCAATATCATATATCTGGACAAAAAGAATGACTGAGCTGGGGTTTCACTGTCCAGATAATTTCATTTTTTTAAATATTGAAGAGCAGAGCCCCAGAAAAATACCACAATGATTGGATTGCAGCTTCAATTGAGATTATATCTGACTCCAAAATGATGTGTACACTGTGCCCGTATGGGGCTATGCTACATAGCATTGGCGAAGTAATTAAATTTATGTATTTAATAATGATCCAAAAACTTACCGCTGAACTCTAATCTAGACCCTGGGAATTGGGATGTTAAAGTTTTAAAGCTATGTTAAATTTTGTCCAAGAATTTCATGTTTTTTGTTGTTGTATTTAGCTTACTGATAGTTCTATGTGTCTTAATCCGCTAGAAATTTGGGCATAGTAGATGAAAATCCCATGAATAGACCACTAGGCCGTCCCAAACTATACACTAATACTATGGGTTAATTCTTCAAGGGAACCCCTTATTGCCTATTGTAGTAGCTATCTGTAATAGCTATCTGTTGAAACCATAGCTGTTCTTCCAAAAAGGGAACAGACCTTAGCCAGTTAGCCCCAGTCCGGTTATGAAATCTGCACCTATGCAGTGTAGATCGCACAAAATATGTTGTTTAGGCCTCCTATTAAACCTTAAAGTAATAATAACAGAATCAATTTGATTTAAACTTTGCACTGTTTTGTTCTGTCCAAATCAGATAAAGAGTGATTTCAAAACATAGCCTTACCAGTACCACTGCAAGTGAGAAGAACATTTTCAGATCGTGAACAGTCATGCCTGGTTATATAACTGCAGGAGTCCCAGTTAGTACTGGGGCACCTTACTTCATCTAGACCGATTTCATAGTTATAGCTTCTAAATTCGTCCCCATTCTGCCAATTTATTGCTCTGGTGAATCCCATCTCTTTACAAATAGCAGTTGCTGAGTTGTCGCTGAATCCATCGTCACATACCGTTCTGTCGTTGTAGAGTAGTAAGCCCTTTCTTCCTGCAGTAACTTGGATGCCATATGAATCTACCAGACGAAATGGACCTTCTTCTGAAAGAGATAGGTTGTTTTAGCATTTTCGACATGTAAAGGGGGACATATTACGACATTTTTATGTGTGTTCCTGTTCTTTTATGTAATTAAACTAAAGTTGTCTAGTTTGAGGCTACTTGCACTTTGCAGGCATTATGTATCTTCACTAAATCTTCTAAAAGTTATAACACCATGATTAATAGATGACATCACAAAGATTCAATTCGGGTTTAAAACATCTTAAGTTAATGTAATTATTACTTTGATAAGGTTCAACGTGGAGTCCGGCTCTAGAACGACGATTTTTTCCTTTTCACCCTTTTGAAAAAAGGCAATAGTGAAAGGTTACGAATGGAGGTTATTGCAGAAAAACGTGGATTTTGGAGATAGCAGTAGGCGGGTTTGAATATGATGTCATTCCGTCCGTTACCATGCAACGAAAAAGTTGCGCGCGCGAGGATTGCTTGCGGAGATGTGATGTATAGATAGCCTGTGATCTATGAATGCGCGGCGCGACTGTGTTTTAATGTATATGATGCATGTAATGTATAATATTACTATTAGGTAATACGCCCAATTTGTACGTGGCACGCATAGTGTATGATGTGTACACGAGTATAGTTTACCTTTGCTGATAATTTCTTGAATTACAGATACAGGTTAAGTTCTACGGCAATTGAACTGAATTTCAAGTGTTCTGTTCCCGTATTTGATGCATAATTTATCAATATTATTATCATGAAGATTGAAGTGAGCTGATTGGAGCTTATACTTAAATTTATAGTAAATGTGAAATGGAAATCTAGCGTCCGCCAAAACAAAACAACGGGCGCAATTCTTGTTACAATTGACTTTTTTATTACAGTTTATGAGTAGACACGATCAACAATGTATCAGTGAAATATTCGAAAATATTGAAACAATTACCTTCTACTACTGCAACTGGCTCATCATCTGAAAAGATATTATATGTTTTAAAGAAATCTTATGCCAAAAGACCACCAAATCATTTTGGTGGTCTTTTTGCTTTTGAATCCACATTTTAACAGGTATTGAAAGGGGTTTTAAAATGTGTTGAACTATTCAATGTTTTAAGTTTTACAATTTATTTCCTTGACAAATATCAATAGCCTTACCACTGCAAGTTAGAAGAACATCCTCGTTGTGTCGGCAGTCTTCGGAAGTTGAGTAGCTGCAGGATTCCCACTCAAAGCTATCGCAATCAACGTCATCTAATTTGATCTTATAATGGGCTTGAATTTCCCAACCGGGTTGGTCATTTACTACAGTCCAATTAGATGATGAGTTGAATCCCAATTCTCTGCAAATAGCATGTGCGGAGAAGTCACTAAAATGATCATCACATACAGTCCCCCCACTGTAAAGCAAGAGACCCATCTCATCCTCTCCCACATCAGCACCGGATTCATCAACCAGTCGGAACTCCTGGGGTATCTCTGTTGTGGATGATGTTTCTGTTGTGGTTAAGTTATTGGATTCTGTTGTGACTATTATCTCGGCTTTTGTTGTCGGTTGTGGTCCTTCGGTTGTTCCGGTGGGTTTAACTGTGGGCTTTTGTGTCGGCTCCGTTGTTAGTTTATCTGTTGAGATTATTTAACTGTATAATGTAAAGGTTGTAAAAAGTTTATAGGTGATGGGTGTCGCATGGACGACAGTCACCTATTGAGTTCGTGCGCCCATTGAAAGTTTATCGAATTTATAGCATCAATTTTCAATACCGAGACATGATGTTCAATGAATGTACCGAACTTAGCCTAGTAATAATTCTTATCTATTGAGTTGTAATCTAACCTGGGCAGTCCACTTCATCTGTACCATCAGTACAATCAGCAACACCGTCACATACCCAGCTTCTATAAATACACTTGTTAGAGCACCGGAACTCATCCTCACTGCAGTCGGGCAGTGCTGTCGTCGGTAATTCGGTCACCGTAGTAGGTACTGGGATATTAGGTTCAAAGTAAAGAAATTTGGTTGGTTGGTTGCACTTGTCACAAATATTTACCAGGACCCGGAACAAAAACTCATCCCCACCACTCCCAACTATGTCATATGAGCGTGATATAAGATGTTCCTAGTTTGAAGGTGCTAGTTGTAGCTTTAACTTAGATTTTAAAAAGATTTTTCATACTTGGTATAAAGCCAGTGCAATTGAGAAACAGATGTTCCTAGTTTGAAGGTGCTAGTTGTAGCTTTAACTTAGATTTTAAAAAGGTATTTCATACTTTGTATAAAGCCAGTGCAATTGAGAAACATATGTTCCTAGTTTGAAGGTGCTAGTTGTAGCTTTAACTTAGATTTTAAAAGGTATTTCATACTTGGTATAAAGCCAGTGCAATTGAGAAACATATGTTCCTAGTTTGAAGGTGCTAGTTGTAGCTTTAACTTAGATTTTAAAAGGTATTTCATACTTGGTATAAAGCCAGTGCAATTGAGAAACATATGTTCCTAGTTTGAAGGTGCTTATTGTAGCTTTAACTTAGATTTTAAAAAGATTTTTCATACTTGGTATAAAGCCAGTGCAATTGAGAAACATATGTTCCTAGTTTGAAGGTGCTAGTTGTAGCTTTAACTTAGATTTTAAAAGATTTTTCATACTTGGTATAAAGCCAGTGCAAGCGAGAAACAGATGTTCCTAGTTTGAAGGTGCTAGTTGTAGCTTTAACTTAGATTTTAAAAGGTATTTCATACTTGGTATAAAGCCAGTGCAATTGAGAAACATATGTTCCTAGTTTGAAGGTGCTTATTGTAGCTTTAACTTAGATTTTAAAAAGATTTTTCATACTTGGTATAAAGCCAGTGCAATTGAGAAACAGATGTTCCTAGTTTGAAGGTGCTAGTTGTAGCTTTAACTTAGATTTTAAAAGGTATTTCATACTTGGTATAAAGCCAGTGCAATTGAGAAACAGATGTTCCTAGTTTGAAGGTGCTAGTTGTAGCTTTAACTTAGATTTAAAAAGGTATTTCATACTTGGTATAAAGCCAGTGCAATTGAGAAACAGATGTTCCTAGTTTGAAGGTGCTTATTGTAGCTTTAACTTAGATTTTAAAAAGATTTTTTATACTTGGTATTAAGCCAGTGCAATTGAGAAACAGATGTTCCTAGTTTGAAGGTGCTTATTGTAGCTTTAACTTAGATTTTTAAAAGGTATTTCATACTTGGTATAAAGCCAGTGCAATTGAGAAACTGATGTTCCTAGTTTGAAGGTGCTAGTTGTAGCTTTAACTTAGATTTTAAAAGGTATTTCATACTTGGTATAAAGCCAGTGCAATTGAGAAACAGATGTTCCTAGTTTGAAGGTGCTAGTTGTAGCTTTAACTTAGATTTTAAAAGGTATTTCATACTTGGTATAAAGCCAGTGCAATTGAGAAACATATGTTCCTAGTTTGAAGGTGCTTATTGTAGCTTTAACTTAGATTTTAAAAGGTATTTCATACTTGGTATAAAGCCAGTGCAAGCGAGAAACAGATGTTCCTAGTTTGAAGGTGCTAATTGTAGCTTTAACTTAGATTTTAAAAGGTATTTCATACTTGGTATAAAGCCAGTGCAAGCGAGAAACAGATGTTCCTAGTTTGAAGGTGCTTATTGTAGCTTTAACTTAGATTTTAAAAAGGTTTTTCATACTTGGTATAAAGCCAGTGCAAGTGAGAAACAGATGTTCCTAGTTTGAAGGTGCTAATTGTAGCTTTAACTTAGATTTTAAAAGGTATTTCATACTTGGTATAAAGCCAGTGCAAGCGTGATATAAGATGTTCCTAGTTTGAAGGTGCTTATTGTAGCTTTAACTTAGATTTTAAAAGGTATTTCATACTTGGTATAAAGCCAGTGCAAGCGTGATATAAGATGTTCCTAGTTTGAAGGTGCTTATTGTAGCTTTAACTTAGATTTTAAAAGGTATTTCATACTTGGTATAAAGCCAGTGCAAGCGTGATATAAGATGTTCCTAGTTTGAAGGTGCTTATTGTAGCTTGAACTTAGATTTTAAAAGGTATTTCATACTTGGTATAAAGCCAGTGCAAGCGAGAAACAGATGTTCCTAGTTTGAAGGTGCTTATTGTAGCTTTAACTTAGATTTTAAAAAGTTTTTTCATACTTGGTATAAAGCCAGTGCAATTGAGAAACACATCCTCAGAATGATCACAGTTATTAGAAGTCGTGTAGCTGCAAGAATCCCACTCAATACTACTGCAATTAACATTATCTAATCTGATCCCATATTTGAAATTTCGAGATTCCAAATTCATGGTGTCCAATCCGGAAGTCCAACTCGACGTTGAGTTGAATCCCATTTCTCTGCAAATAGCATGTGCGGAGTTGTCACTAAAATGATCATCACAGACAGTCCCCCCACTGTAAAGCAAGAGACCCATCTCATCCTCTCCCACATCAGCACCGGATTCATCAACCAGTCGGAACCTTTGGGGGGTCGCTGTTGTGAACGAGGTAAAGGATTCTGTTGTGGCTATTATCTCGGCTTTTGTTGTTGCTTGTGGTCCTTCGGTTGTACCGGTGGGTTTAACTGTAGGCTTTTGTGTCGGCTCCGTCGTTGTTTCACCTGTGGAACGTATTGAACTGTATTGGTCGTCCATACTTTATAGTAACCTGGTAACCTGGTAACCTGATAATCTGGTAACCTGGTAACCTGGTAACATGGTAACCTGGTAACCTGGTAACCTGGTAACCTGGTACCGTCCATACTTTATAGGCTGCTGATGTCGCATATTTGTTATGTGCATTGCACACCCGCTGCAAGTAGAATTTTAATATCTTAATATGACCCGATCAATTCCTTTCAAGAAAATCGACATGTATTTTTGTACCAAAATGAAACTCGTAATCGAACAAGGTGCTCTACAATTTGAATTAGGGTCTTATCTATTGAGTTGTACTCTAACCTGGGCAGTCCACTTCATCTGTACCATCAGTACAATCAGCAACACCGTCACATACCCAGCTTCTATAAATACACTTGTTAGAGCACCGGAACTCATCCTCACTGCAATCGGGCAGTGCTGTCGTCGGTAATTCAGTCACCGTTGTAGGAACTGGGATGTTGGGTTCAAAGTAAAGAACTTGTTCTTCGGATAGATTACGTGGCCAAATTTTGTAAATGAACACGTGTGAAATGACTCAAATGAGTAAAGACATTACCGTATATACAGTCGTCCTCTGAAGAAGATCCTGGATCTGATACATGGTTGTACGGACAGTTTGCACAGTAGTAAAAGTTATCATAACTGAAGGTGTTTTCTCCACATTGCTGACATCCACTGTCCGTCATATAGTTTCCAGCCGTGCATGGGGCTGAAATCAATTTGTAACTTTTGAGAAGGTTTAATTCACTTTCAGTTCTTTTGTTGAACTGAAACTTTTATTCTGAAACCTTTATTGAACTGAAATATTTATCTCATTATAGGATAATTATCCTTCTGAATTGCCAATATTAGAAGTTCGATAAAGATGCTAGGAGTCAAAATTACAAAAGTGCTCCAGGGCATAAATTTTACCGTAGTAGCAGTCAGAGGCAGCTCTCGATCCAGCACTTGAAATCATACCATCTGGACAACTTGTACAATTGTCCGAATTATATTCACTCCAAGTGTTCTCTTCACATTGCTGACATCCAGTGTCAGTGATCATGTACTGACCAGCATTGCATGGGACTGAAATAAAATTAACTTTTTATCTCTCTAAATCTTGCAGATGGAGTAAAATTCAGTTTCTCGTTTGTCTAGAATTTGTATGATGATGAGGATTTTAGGAAATTGTAAGTTTTAACAAAGATAAAAAAGGGTGGTATTGTGGATTGAGATTGTATTTCCTTGGCCCAGAGGCTAGTTAGAACTTGAAGGATAACTGTTGTAACTTGTATTATATGCTACTATAATCTCTACCCCAATAGCAAGCAGAGTACGATGTTGAACCGGAATCTGAATACATTCCATCTGGACATGCCGTGCAACTGGCAGCCCCATCTTCACTGTATGTTCGGATCGGACATATTTGACATCGAAACCAATTAGAGTAGTCAAAGTAATTTCCGGCTTGGCATGAGGCTGAAATAAGATTTATCTGAGGAAGACTATAATTTGTAAGTAATGATGATGAACTGAAAGTTAATTTCTTTTAGACAACCAGTGACCCCACTCCTCTCCTATAAAAATTGAAATGAACGAATGCTAATTGACACACGTTGCTGAAGTGCCGAGTGCACGGAGGTCAGCCGGTTTTGTGCGCGATGAAAGAGACACGCAACGTGTGTAAAAATGCTAACGGTAATACCTTCACCACACGTAAGGAAGACATCCTCGCCGTGTACGCAGTTGTGGTAAGTGTTGTAGCGGCAGTTTGACCAAACTCTATCACTTCCACACCTCACATCGTCCAGGCTTATTGACTTGCTGCTTTGAAATCTCCATTCATACTTGTACCCGTAGGTCCAGTCAATCAATCTACCAAAACCAAGTTCACGGCAGATGGCGTCAGCTGCATAATCGCTAAAGTAATCGTCGCACACTGTCCCGCCTTTATACAAGAGTAAACCCATTTGGCCTGATTCAACTGGTTCCCCGCTCGTGCCTAAAAGAAGGAAGTCTGGCTCCCTCTCTGCGGCTACTCCTGTTGATGGAATATTGTTAATCGTGCAAATAATACAGCTCAGATTCGGTGTTAATCTGTTAGTCTGTTAATCTTTAGATTGAAGTTACTTTCTGGATTTTTGTATCGGACAAACGGCAAACCCACTCTTGGATTGGTAAGCTTCCGGATCATACTAAAACTACGTTTAAAGAGTACGAAATATTATCTGTACACGGGGTCATCATAAAAAATGCTCTGACTCTGATGCACAAGATAACTTACATGCCTGGCCTTCTGCCGTCGTCGATAAAAGACTTATTTCCTCCCGATATACCAAAGTATGGCACGTCTTATGACGACAATATCGACTGGCTAACAACGTTCTCTCAACCAGATCTACGCGCTAGTGTTCTGTATAAAGGTCCTATATTAGCTATTACCGAGCACAACATTAGTCGCATAACTTGCCCATCTAGCATTTTCTCAATAAGCATATATAAGAAATCAGCGAAGCGTGTAATGATAGAACTACAAAGCTCAGGAAACGATGAAGAATGGCCACCTTTTCTGTTACATAATTTACCCGGGCTACGTAAATCGACAAGATCAGGCACACAACAAATCAACTACCGAGAATAAACTAAGGAATAAATAAAACCAGACGGTTAGCACACTAGTCACTATCAACCACATGCCACTTTTTTCACTGCCCATTCACTGTCATATTAATAGCATCATATAAATAGCGCTAGCAGGTGCTGATAAGACATGGGCTCAGTTATTCTTTTTTGTTTTAACCTCAAGTAGCTTATAAAACAGTGCGTGTGATCATCTGTCGTATCAAATCAAATTATTTGTCACTATATGTTAATAAATCATGATATACAAGTTTTAATTTTTAAAGTTTCTGTTTTTGTTTTTAATGAATAGACGTAATCAACATTTTCAATTTTCATATTCACGCATATTAAATAAAATTATATTGTTATGTTGTATGTATTATATTATTTTGTAAACATTGGCCGGGTATAAAAAACCGGTCCCCAAACAAACAAACATCTCCCCCGAATTAAACAAGAATTGGTTTTCGTTGTGGCGAACGCTAGATTTCCATCCACTGCAAGCTCTGATCAGTTCACTTCATAATTGCATGCTTAAGATCCGGGAAACCACTCGTGATTCAAGTTGATTTCCGTAGAATTAAGAATATCAACTCTCATCTATTTAGGATATTGAAGCAAAAAGTGAACTATACTCATGTCTCATACCTCAAATTAGGACGAAAATGTTGATTTTTTAGTGTTGACCATAAACGCTGCGCAGACTGACTAATGAATGAAACGCAATTTTACCTAGCACATATTAATATTATGAAGGAACAACCCTGCGTCGCGTTCCCGTCGTCATGGTAACGGACGGAAGGAATGACGACACATTTAATTAAACCCTGATCCTTCTGCGATCATCAAAAGCCGTCTTTTTTCACGATTTCACGATTTGTTACCTTTCACTTTACTTTTAGCTGTAAAATAATGAATGAAAAAATAATCTAGTGCTATAATAACCTGAGCAAGTAAGTAAGACGTCTTCATAATGGCCGCAGTTGTGGTTGGTGTTGTAACTGCAATCAGCCCAGTCGTTATTATCATTTTTATTACAAGTCACGTCATCCAGCTTGATATCGTAGCTCTCTTGGTTCGGATAAAGAGATGCACTTCCAGCATTGTCCCAGCTCTGCGCACTGTTGTATCCCATATCTTTGCAGATGGCGTTTGCTGCATCGTTATCGAACCTAGAAATACGAAGAAATCTAAGAAATACTAAGAAATACTAAGAAATACTAAGAAATAATAAGAAATACTAAGAAATACTAAGAAATACTAAGAAATACTTAAAAATATTAATTTTACAATTACATCAAGAATATTATGAAAAAAAAAACAACGTAAGTCATTAAGAATTATAAAAAAAGGTGACTTATTTTTAACTCCCCGATCTAAAACAAAAATCAGTGCAGCCAAACCTATTATATCTACCGGGCATCTTGGGAGAAAAGCCGAGGTATTTGTATTATAATTATATGTATGAGTTACCCGGTATTGAATAATTGAAAGCATCGATGTTAAATACGCCGAAAAAGCGGTCGAAAATACGCTGTTTGTCAAAATTCTAAGAAATACGTGAAATACGGCCCATTTTGCAGTTTCTTGACACACGCTGTAACCCCTTTTGATCGCGCGCCGGCCGGCCGGCGTTCACGCTTCGCTTGCACGAGAGGTAAAACTATACAACGTGTAGCAAGCAGTTTCAGAAAAAAATGTTTATGTTAAATTTTGTCCGAATACGCACGTATTTCTTGCGATAAATGTTTCTGCAAAATACGCAAGAACTTAAAATATCAGCTGCCACTTAAAAGATCAGCTGCCACGCTCCGCACATCTGACCGCTGACATCATAATCTGCCTATTCAGTAATCGGCATCATAATCTGCTTGCATACAAATTGCTACCAAAATGGCCCGGTGGCTAAAATATAAAATTAAAAAGTGACTAGGAATCTGATTAAGGCGGAAAAAGTGGCTATAAATTTTTCGGCCGGATGACTACGTATTTCATTATGTTTCACCTTCAAGTTCAATTCCATACCATTGTATCGTGCTTTGCTGATTATATTACTGAGGTATTATTAGTTATTCATAATTGCCAAAAAGTGAGAATAAAACTATCGTCGACGGGCCCAGAACCCGGGTGATTCAGGTTATTAGTGACGCATTAATCGACTAAAACATGAGGTCATGTGAATAAATGTAATATTTATATATATATATAAACGCGCGATTTTAGCGCGTTCCTGCTGAATTCTCATTTTAATGAATCGATGGTCAAAATGACAGATTTGAACGCGAACGAAGTACGCAAAACACTCTTGAGAAATACGTATTCGTATGTCGTAAGTTTATAAGATACGCTACGTATTTAACATCCTTGATTGAAAGCCACGGAGTATATAGATTTGATAAGATTTTATAAATTTGATAAAGGTTAAATAATTTGAGTTCTGTTGTAATGTACCTATCATCACAGACGGTGCCCCCTTTGTAAAGTAACAGTCCTTGCTGTCCAGCTGACACTTCATTTCCGTTCTGGTCAATAAGCTGGAACACCGACCCTGAAAAGGTTTTAAATAAAAGGGAATAATTAGTCACTCAATTTGAATTAGGTAGGCAAACAAATTGTTAGTTTTAATTTAGTTAGTTCTAGCATCTGGAGTGATGACTAAAATATTAGTCATTACTGCTCTGGAACATTCCCACCAGGGTGAAAAAGTTGTTTTACTTTAAATAATCTTTACAAACCTGTAGCTGATCCTAGGATATAGACTGAGCACATCAGCGCCAGTGCTGTAAGCATTGTTTCCAGTTATACTTGTCCGTCTACAAATTTGTTCGTTATTTCACTTTCAGTAATTTTCACTCACAAATTTTTCAGATTATCGAATATATAATGGCTACTCCAAATTTTGTTGTCCAAATCAGGTAATATAAACAATGTTCATTGAAACGCCCGAAATAAAATAAACATTGAAAAATTGCAACAATCACGTTTATTTTTGTTTTGACTAAATTTTTTATGGGGTTGTTAATGATTCAAAGTTACTCAATAAAACCGGAAATGACTTATTAGGGTGTTTTATCGCAAACAAATACATGCGCGGCAACATGTACATATTTGCAATTATAAACGAATAACAGGTTTATAAAACCTAATACTTATAGAAATTAGAAATTAGAAATTAGAAATTAGAAATTAGAAATTAGAAATTAGAAATTAGAAATTAGAAATTAGAAATTAGAAATTAGAAATTAGAAATTAGAAATTAGAAATTAGAAATTAGAAATTAGAAATAAGAAATTAGAAATTAGAAATTAGAAATTAGAAATTAGAAATTAGAAATTAGAAATTAGAAATTAGAAATTAGAAATTAGAAATTAGAAATTAGAAATTATATGAGTATTTAATAGCAAACAAATGCGGGCACGATACAAATTTTGGAATTACAAATGAAAATATGAAATTTGAACTTTGAACATGTATTTGTACGAGTAAACAATTTACAAGTAGCCCCAAGAAAACCGAATCAAATAATTATCGAAAATATAATTGGAATCGGCTACCACTGAGATTATAGCTTCAAATTTGAAGAGTTTTTAGGGGATTTTACGGGTCCTGTGTTAGACAAATTTAATAAGTCTAACAGATGAGTCACCTTATCTCACCAGCCCCAATCCCCAATGTTGAGGGCCCAATTTACAAATTACCCTTGCAGTCTTCGGACAAAGATAACGGCTAAAAATTAATGGAATGGTCAAGTCATCCTGACACAGGGGGCTCGGTGCGTGAAAAGCCCGATAAGTTTGAGAATCTTACCTCTGGAGAACTTCTGAAGTACTTCTGGAGAACTGCACTGGAGATTGGATAATTTTCTAGTGAACTGGAATAGAACCAACTTTAAATCAGGAATAAAACAAACTCAATTAAGCCAGTATCATGTACAGCGTCGAATTTTCTTATCTCGAAATTCTGCTATTCCTAATTTCCCTGCAGATTTTTTTAAAAAATTTTAAAATTATCATGGGTTCTCTAAAATTATCATACTCATTTATAACTGATTAAATTAAGAAATCTCTAAGAATGTTTGCCAACACTCATTTTTAATCACGAATTAGGCTGCATTTGAGCAGTAAGCGTTATCAATTGCACTGACAATAATTACCTAAATCGACAGCTGCATATCGATTTGTGGTAAAAATTGTTCAAAAATTGATAAACAATTTCAGCTGGTATTTTTCCCTGGTTAATGCTAGAATTATTGTACAGAAGGATAGTTCATTATTATATCCACACTCCTAAAAAGGTTAAAGAATCTTCCTTGTGAAAATGTCTCACTGTTCATATTGAAGTGCACCACACAGTAACTCCTTTTTTGCGTTGTATGAGACCTCTCCAATGTACCCTTATGAACCGAAACTCCATGCCTTTTCCCATATTAGCATATTGATATATGGGTATTGGCACGGAGTGAATTAGTGAATAACAAAAATTGAGGTTATAAATTACTGTTATATTATAAATATCACATTTAATAATGCATACAGCCGAAACAAGTTATGGAAATTAACAATAAAAAAGGTCCATTTTCAAGCATCTAAAGCCAAAGTTTGTCAGTTCATTTCTTTAATAATTGGGACAGTGGTTGAGGGTTGTAACATTCCTTTGGAAAAAATATAATGTTGAAATCTATCAAAAGACCACGAGAACAAAAAATATTTATAGACACATTTCTATTTCAGTCCAAAAATGACGAACAAATTCGTCAGTATATTTCATAAAATAGCCTTTTTAGGGTATTTTATCGTAACTTACCTAATGCATGCAGGACAAAATATTTGTAATTATAAATTAGATAAGAGGATTTAACCTGAAATTCATACGAGTATTTAACAGCAAACAAATGCGGGCACCATTAAAATTTTGGAATTATGAATGAAAACATGAGATTTGAACGTGTTTTGTACGTTCTAAATTGTGAATGATTAAACAATTTACACTTACAGTTAGCCACAAGAAAATCGAATCAAATGAGATTATCAGATACCTGGATATGGAATAGGCTTCCACTAAGAATAAGATTATGGTATTAATATTAGGGTTCAAAAGACACTGTGAACTATTTTAAACAAATTGATTATATTTTATGTCGTACTAACTTTAAAGTCTGTTTAACAGACTCCCGCTCTTTTTGCGGTGATTTTGTGAAATCTGACCATAAACCTGTGGTCGCACGTTTTAAACTTGGTTGTGAATACATTGTACATAAGCGGCCCAGGTCTGACAAAATAAGGTTTGATGTCAATCGCCTTAATGATTCTGATATTAAGTCTAAATTTTTTGATTCCTTTAAAAGTAATATTGATTGTAGAGTTTTAACTAATAATGCTATTTCTGAAAATTCTGATATATTTGGTATATTGAGTAAATGTGCCGTCCAGGTGGTTGGTAAAGTGCCCCCGGGGAAGCCTCATCAGTACAGCGACGATCCAACTGTCGTTAAACTTTCAGCAGAGAGAAAGTCCCTTCAGCAAGAATGTAGTCTCACAGGGATAAGCGACAGGAGTGACCTCAGAAAAAGAATCAACCATCTCAAACGTACCATCAAAAAGAGGTTGAAATCCATCAACGAGGCCACTGCTAACGCCCTAGTAGATGTCATCAACAACACCGACAGCTGCAGAAGCATGTTTGAAGCGAATAGAACTTTGGCCCAGTGTAGGATGAAGAAAGACGGAGTGACTGTCCACGATGCAGACGGGAACACCTTAGGTTCTGACTCATTAAAAGCAGAAGCTATTAAAGAATACTTTAATAATGAGTTCAATGACAAAGATGAACCCCACCTCCCAGCATTCATAGACCCTCCTGGAAGCCTCCTCTGTCCCATAACACCTGAAGAAGTTGGCCGTGCTGTTATGAAGCTGAAATCCGGTAGAGCGTGTGGCCCTGACGGTATACCTAATGAGCTAATGAAAGCTGCTGGATATCCCCTCCACTGTGAGTTGGCTAGGATCTATAATCTCTCCTTTGAGACCAACACATACATCCCAGCTATTGGAGAAGGTATCCTGACACCCCTTCAGAAGCCAGGAAAACCCCGAGGTCCGATAAAGTCTATCCGGCCCCTCACATTGCTAAATGGAACTAGAAAAGTCCTATCCCTCGTAGCCTTGAACAGAATCAATTACCACGTTGATATGTACACTGGACCTTGGCAGGCGGCATACAAGCAGGGTCGCAGTTGTGCTGACCTGGTATGGTCTCAGAGAATGTTGACATCAGTGGTTACCAGGCGCGAGTTTGAGTATAGTAAAATCAACATTGACATGACCGCTGCGTTTAATACTATCCGCAGACAGACCATCATCAACCTCCTCATTGATGCAGGATGCTCTAGAGACGACATTCGCCTAGTTCAGTACCTCCTCTCAAATACAAAGCTCAAGGTGACGGTCAACAGATCTGAGTCTGGTGAATTTGTGATTAATATTGGCGCTTACCAGGGAGACAGTCTGGCAGGTAAAGTGTTTACATTGACCCTTGCCGGTGCCCTGAATCACATCAGAGCCGTGATCAGTGTCACGATTCCTAGACCGAACCCCCCAGTCTCTGATAGAGGCCTCCCGTTAGAGTCCGCCTATGCTGACGATGCTGAGCTTCTGAGTGAAGATGGTCAGAGCCTGGTGAAGATACTAGAGATTGCCAGTGATATACTAAAGGATTGGAGTCTCTTTGTTAACGAATCAAAGACGGTGTTTACAAGAGTGTATTTGGCAGATACAGATGCTTTAGATGCCCATGGCAATAAAATTAGAGGAGATGAAGAGTGGCGAGAGTCAGTGCTATTAGGATCAAAGCTCTGCTCAGAAAGAGATATTGTCAACAGACGCAACAAAGCCAATGTTGCCTTCTACACCTACAAGAAAGTCTGGTTGAATAGTTCTGTTCAGATCAGTGAGAGTAGAAAGCTGAAGCTGTACGAAGCTCTTGTCACTTCAGTGTTGTTGTATAACTGTAGCAGCTGGGCTGCTCCTGAAACCGTAATGGCATCTGTCGACGTTCTTCAAAGGAAGCATCTGAGACAGATAATCAACACCTATTGGCCTACGATTATCAGTAACGAGAATTTATATAAGAGATGTAATGTCAGACCCCTTACTGAAAGGATCAAGAAAGCAAGATGGAAGATGCTTGGGCACGTTCTCAGAAGCGGTGATGACACTCCCGCCTTCTTATCTTTCAGATTTGCATGTTTAGGATGTTTTGACTACAAAGGAAGGAGGGGCAGACCTCGTTCAAATTTATTTGATTTATTATTAAAAGACATTATGACAAAACAAATTATTGTGATTGTAAATAAAAGATTTAGTTTAAGTAATTTCAACGATTTAGTGTACAAAGCTCATGATAGACGTCTTTGGAGAAGTTATGGGTGAGTCGAGACTACTCGGCCACTCGATTTTATGATTTAATTTCTATTATCTTGTGTTTGCTGTAAATAGTTGATTAATAATTAATATTACAATACCTTCCAGTTCCAGGAATTAATATCGTATCCCCATAATCAGCCAATGTCTCGGAGTGCTTTAAAACGCATTCTAATCATATTCATAATACTCGCGCAATATTTATTACACACTTTATTGTACATTACGCGTATATCACATTACCACATTTTTATAAACGGATAGTGTCGTTCAGGCATTGGAACACACAATACTCTTGGCTTAGTTTCATGCCGCGCTCGCCCTCATATTGGCATTGCCGTCATATTAAGACGCAATGAAACTACCGGACTGCGATGTATGGGGACTTGCCACCCCATGGCAACAATAACATTAAAATATATCGACTCTGTTACATCGTATCCTCAAATTATTTGTTATATATAACAAATATACTATATATAGTAGTGTTGAAAGTATTAAAATCACCTTCGGCCCGGTTTGAACATTATCTCGCTCAGCACTTAACAGCTAAGGTATCATGGTATTTTAGGGGGCCTGTGTTCGACTAATTAAATAAGTCTAATAGATAAGTCGCATTAGTCACCAGCTCCAATCACCAATGTTGAGGGCCCAATTTACAAATTACGCTTGCAATATTCAGACCTAGATAACGGCTAAAAATTAATGGAACAGTCCCGGTCAAGTCTTCTTTACAAATACACAGGGGGCTCGGTGCGTCAAAAGCCCGACAAGTGTGATTCATTAACTTTGAGAGACTAAGATTTAGGGGTCATATGTCTTCTGTACTCTGTAGGGGTCATTCGGATTTGCTGCAATCTTTTTGGATATTATTAATATTACTTGTGCATTATGGAGAACTTTTGAGTTCTGAAGTCTGAAGAACTGCACTGGACAATTTTGTTCTTCACTGGAATAAAAAAAACTTTAAAACAATGGTGTGAAAAACTGGAAACTAACTTTTTTTAAAATACATTAGCACATTCAACTGTGTTGTAATCTAAGATGAGAAGTACGTACCGTACCCGGCTTAAAGTACGTACGGTATGAGGTTTTTATCAGTACGTACCGTACAACCACTTTAAAGTACGAATTTGTTTTGAAAAAAATGGTGTCCGTTTTTTACCTTATTTTTCTATTGTTGTAAAATTGGCAGGTATGTGTATGTATGCAATTTTCAAACCACGATTTTGGTGCCAGTGAATGCTAAAGTCGAATTAAACAATTTTTAAGACAATAAATTAATTTGAATAACTGCAATTATACTCAATAGTAGTACGTACAGTCATGCTATTCTAATGATGGGAATAAGAATGCGGAGACATAAGTTTAGGTGCCCGTCCCGTAGCGCCATTTCAATTGTTCCTGTTATTATTTTGTCACGAAAGTCGGACTACCATCGAAAACACATTTATTGTACTTAATAACCAATTTTATCAGTACGTACGGTAGTCATTTTTAAAAGTACGTACCGTACGAACTTCTCATCATAGGTTGTAACCCAGTATACGCTATATTACCATTTTCAATTCTTTTACCTCAGTTAAGGGATTAATGTTTACACTTCACATATTACGTAAAAAGATTGGAGTTGACTGCACTCCAGGACCATCAGCCAGATCAGATCTGCGGCAGTGGGACCCAAATTTCTGTCAAACCCCGCCAATATTCACAACAGTATACAGTCAACATGAATATTCGGGACTGTGCTGAGTGTGGGGTTAGGTGTTTCTATTTTTGAATCATATTGGCTGATGCTGACGTTGTAGTAGCGAATATTGCGAACATAATTGAAATTCATCGGGAATGGTGTGGGGAACGGGCATTTAACCTACAAATTAGTTTATATAAACTTAAAGTTTTAGATTCCATAAAGTAATAAATTGAGATCAGCGCAGCTTCCAACGTGGCTTTTTTAATCTTTCAATCTTTCAAAATAATTTAGTACACATCGTAATTCTGTAGTTTTACCGACCAATCAATTTATTACAAGTTATCTTTAAAAGCACTTCACAAAGTAACCTGTAACAGTGAAAGTGAAAGTGAAACTATTTCAGGTCCGACGCCTCCTCCTATGGGTGGTGGAGGATGAGGAAGGTAAACAGTCGGCTGGTTCAACTAGCAGTCCTGTTGTCAGGTTCTGTTAGCTACCCAGCGGGCTGTCTGGCTGCATCACGTGATAGGGAGTTCTGCGGAGGGAACAACTTGCGGAGGAGACTTTGGGACAACTTACTTGCCGTGGTAGATTACAATTTAATTACTGAGCTAATCACGATGAAGTTATTATTTACCTAATTAACATACTATAACACTGGGTTACCCGGTTGTGGTATGGCAGGTATTGTGACATCAACCTGTTCGTCATATCCCGGATTAATGGGCCACTCTGTAATTGTATTTACATGGTACTACTGCAGCACGAGTCTTTAACTCGGTTTTATCCAATTAAATAAATATGTTAGATGGGACTTTCCCTTTTGCTTTGAGCAGCCAATCTCAGTTCGTGATGGGGCTATTTATGACACGATTCTTGTAAACCAGATATCTGGCCAAGGATAGTTGATATTGCCTCGTCAAAATACACATGGACAATTTATTTGATTTTTACCAGATAATCTTTAAAACTGACGTTTTTTCACTTGTAGTTATTATAATGCTGTGATTTGATGATTTGATTTCAGTTTAAATTCTTACTTCAAGTTGATGAGAGTTGATTAGAGATAATTTGAGATATAATTTGTAATAAACCCTTAATATTAAAAAATCTAGAAAGCTTTAAAACTCTTGTTAATTTTTTTTCAGGAAAATAAATTCGAATTTAAAACAAAAACACAAGTTATTAAAGGACGGAATAAAAATGTCGAATCCCGCAAGAAGCTTGATAAAAGTTATAAAATAGGTCGAAAATTCGTCTTTTCGAGGTCCAATCAAAATCACAGCGTCACAATCTGGATTATAGCGGCCACCATTGATTTGTCTTCACAATTATGCACCATGTGACCATGACGGGATTTTATCTTCTGGCGAGTCTGGAAACGTTAGGATTTATAATTGTTTTAAACTTTATTCGCTACTAGAATCCTTTTATCTTTAACTCAACTGTCAGTAGCTTACCACCAAAGCTACATCCACTCAATTCACCACTACGAGTGATACACACATAACTCCTAGAGTATTTTCCAACTAAAACTGAGACTGAGGGATTATACGATTACAGAGGTTGACCTCCAACTGTCCAACATCACCACACCAAGATCACACATTATGTCCATTCTTATCAATTGGTGTTGCATCAATCTGCTCTGATAACTGAACCACTGTAGGGTCAGCTGACACATTACCCAGAGTAGTTTTATAATCAATACCACTTCCACTCCCGTGCCCGGAGTCAGTTTTAGATATCTGATCGTGGTTGCCTGTGTCTGAGCGGGAGGTCTTAGTGATTGTGTGTTCCTCTACTTTCGGCAGACTGTTAACTTTAGATAGGGGGGTTTTCTTGTCGCCCGCTTCCTCTGGGGTGGCGGCTACTGTGTGAATGTTGCGAATCTGTTCACACTTGTGTACATAGACCCTGTAAAAATGGGGGTTTACAAGATGTGACCTGTAATATTGGAGGTTTAAAAATTACATGTGACCGGTGGCCGACCATAGGGCCCCTGAGATCCGGGGTACCACGGTGATCGTATCACATTACCGATAGTGGACCTATAAGTATAACTTAATTTTAATCCTGCGTAAAATGCTGTGTAATCCCAATCAGTGACGATTAATTAGTAGAGGGAAGACAGTGACGATAGTATCGAATTCTACAGTATAAGTATCACCCCGATTTACTGCTAACCCCGATTTAGTTCAAACCTCGATTTTGGATGTACCGCGATCATTTCCTTTCCTGTTAGGGCTTAACAGATAACATGTAAACAATCAAAACCCCGATTTATCGCAAACCCTGATTTACCGCGGCTATCTTTCACCTAAACTCCGCGGTAAACTTATGTTACTGTTAACATGATTCCTACCTTCTTCATCTCTGCCTTCTGGTAGAACTAGAAGAGCCAGAGGAAGTCCTATGTTCCTTCTACTCAACTGCTCACTAGCAAGATATAGTAACTGTTATATAGCGCCCATATTTTAACTTTTCAAAGTCAATTAATTTCCATCCATAAGCCATGGATCACATAACCAAATACGATCACCGTAGAATCACGGACCTGAGGAGGCTACTGGTCACAGCCCAAGTTACATCGGGGGGTTTACAAGATGTGCCGTGTAATCAGAGGCAACTTGTTTAACTTGTAAGTGCGGCAAAATTTTTTGAAAAGAACGATCCCGCACTTGCCTTAAATTGTTTAATGTGCTGCAAATTTAACTTTAAGGAGGCTATTAGTGTGGCGAATATAACTTAAATGCAGCCTAATATCTTCTTGTTTATCGGAAGCCTTTGGTTTTTTTTAAGAGCCAGAAAACTAATGCTACTGCTAGGATTGGATAGTGGCGGTGCAGGACGGTCCCAAAAACTATGCATGGTTAGCAATCAATTACTGAATTAGTGCGAAAACAGACGATTAATCGATCTCCTTGCATGCTGTAGTAATCAGTACCAACTGATTGCAATTTCAAATAAACTCGCTCCAATTTTTAACTGAACTCACCCCAATTTTTCTGAACTCTGCACTTTACGATAGTTTGTTGGTTTCTATTATCTATACCTAAAATTGTGCGGGACGTTCCAAATTGTGCGGAAAAGTGCGGAAAACGACTGTTACTGTTAGTAGTAGTACGAATATGTGCGAGAAACGGCTTTAAGTGCGAATATGTGTGGGAAACGGCTAATAGTGCGGTTCTGCACCTGCCGCACGTATAGTTATATTTTGCCTATACATCTGTAATGTTCGGCGCTTTTACTACTATATACTAGAACTGTAGAAGTAGATGTGCCATGTAATTCTAGTGGTTTTACAAGATGTGACATGTGTCGTCTTATTGGAATTCATAATAATGCACGCATCAAAAGCTGGATGAGTTTTTATAACTTAAGACGACATCGCTGTAACCTGTTCCAATTGCTGTAACTCAGTTTGACACAATTTTGGTGACATATTACGGGTTTAAGCAGCAGCGTAAAGAATTCCTCAGAATTCCTTCACTGCAACTACCAGGGTGGTACTCTAACTACCAAAGTTTGTGATTAGTACAGATAAATTTGCTAACTAGGTTGTCTTCCTGCAACTGCTGCTAGTACTATATGTATTAAACTTGTCGACATTCTTATTTCCGCGAGGGGATGTAAGATACAGAAACATAATTAGTGAGCAGCGCTCAGCCATTTAGCTGACTTTGCATTTTAAGTAACGGTAAGCTAAATGGTTATGGACGTTATTGCTGTTAACATGCCTTTTAATTCTATATCGGAGATATGTCTGCTGGTATTGGCTGTATGGACATTCTAACATTTTAGACCTGGTTGTAATTTGACAAGAAACATGCCCTTAATTCTATATCGGAAAGATGTCTGCTGGTATTGGCTATGTGGACATTATAGTATTTTAGACCTTGTTGTACTTGTAATTTGACAAGAAACATGCCTTTTAATTCTATATCGGAAAGATGTCTGCTCCCAAAGCTGGTGACTCTACGGACAAGATTCTTAACTTCTCTCTGCATCTCATTGTTGCACTGGATCTGTACCAGTCCGTCAATAAAACCTGTCGAAGAAAGTGGGTAAATGTTAAAGGCGTGCGTTATGCAAAAAGCTAAATGTTGAATGAAAGATGTAAAATATTTTCTAATTATTTGAGCTGAATATTATTTACACCACGACCCCAATTCATGAAACTTTTTCTTTTTATTTTTTTCCACGTAAAACTTAATAAAAAAGTGAGGAAGCAACCCACCTGCTAGTGTGTGAGACAAATAGAACCACGAGTACAGATAAACTTCACCCGTAGCACTGTTACCTGAAGGATATGTAATTATTTCATGAATATTTAATTAGGTTATTTATAGATAATTTCAAAAAAGTTCCAATCTATAATCAGTTGTATTTAAGACATAAGTGGTAATCCGACTCGACGGTCGTATAAATCACGTTCCCTCGATACTCCAAATTTAAAACTCTAAATCAAACACTGCTTCAGTGCACGCGGATAAGTTTTAAGGGGAGAGGGAGGGTTGGGTTTAAACTTTAAAAGTGGGATTTGTGAGGCCATATATAATTAAAGTTGAGTTCATTATTGTTCTCCGTGCCTATCGAGAAGAAATCTCCGAGAGACTCCTCTTAATTTAGAACTAACACTTAGAAACCGATAGATTGGGAGACGGAAAATTGGAACTGTTAAGTAACGAGAAACGTCAAATTAGCGCTAGTTAAGTCTGCCGCGCTGAGCGCTCCCAATCTCCATCACGGTGAATCCTCTACAGAGTACCCATATTCTTCCACCGTCTCCAATCTGGATGGCTCATAGCAGCCTATTATTCTTAGTGGATCACTACCATAGTGTCACAACTGATCACAACTTATACTTGGCTAACAACGGTTGGATAGAAACTATAACACACAATAGTACTAGTAGTAGTGGCTGATCATTATTGCAGAGGGTGAACATTTTTAAAGACTATACTCCTGTCCCTGATACCATAAAAAATGTAGTGTTGAAAGCCAGATGGACCTTGTTTATTACTAATACTCCCGACTAGTATCTTATCCTGATTTCTTAGTACCGCTCCCTGACAGCAGACAGATGACCCTTAGGAAGCCGTACAACTGTTTATAAATCTGCCACTTTTTCAAGGACTACTTTATTGTGTTGTTTATAAATCAGTTGTTGAGTACTATTTCTATAAATACTGGAGGAAGTAAGTGATCTCATTATTATTATATCAAATGAAGCCAAATCTATGAATAAATCATAATAAATTACTAATAATATGTATATTATGATGACAGACGAATCATAGATAAATTATGATAATTAAGATAAGTCTGTTGTAAGTATCAAATTATTGGCTCGGTGCCAAGACTATAACTTGCACTTTGCAGCGAATCCCATACTACCCATAGCTGCATAGAAAATCTATCAAATCTCACTAAATTTAATGCAAAATGACATGGTGCGAAAATCAAATAAGCTATTAAAATTGATTCATTTGCTGTTATTTATCTAAATATCGTTTATAAACGATATTTAAAATCAGTTAAATTAGATTAATGTACAATTAGTATACATATACTAATCATATTAAATTATTAAATTAATTAATTAATTAAAGTTACCTGACATGGTCCTGAAGACGGTGTTATTTGTCTGGAACATGTAAACAACATTGTAAGCCACTGTAACAAAGTGAGCTACAAAGTACGTAGCACACAGTGTTAAAGTACACTTGATAACACTGAGCTCCTTTTGCATCATCTTCAGTTCTGTAAGGGGGTTAATTGGTTAATTGGTTAATAATGAGCTCATTATCGATTTTCAGGCATTGATTGGTTACCTTGATCATGGAATGATATAAAGAATTGCTTAATAGTGGGATTACTTTATTGTAGGAAATAGCTGCTGGTTTTCCGATCATGGGATGGTAAGATATTGGCTGGCCTGCTACTGTTGCAGATAGTTGGTTACTATATTAGTATAATATGTATATATCTTACTGTTGCAGATAGTTGGTTACTATTGGTTACTATATAGTATATATCTTACTGTTGCAGATAGTTGGTTACTATTGGTATACTATAAATCTTACTGTTGCAGATAGTTGGTAACTATTGGTTACTATATATCTTACTGTTGCAGATAGTTGGTTACTATTGGTATACTATAAATCTTATTGTTGCAGATAGTTTGTTACTATTGGTATACTATAAATCTTACTGTTGCAGATAGTTGGTTACTATTGGTTACTATATATCTTACTGTTGCAGATAGTTGGTTACTATTGGTATACTATAAATCTTATTGTTGCAGATAGTTGGTAACTATTGGTTACTATATATCTTACTGTTGCAGATAGTTGGTTACTATTGGTTACTATATATCTTACTGTTGCAGATAGTTGGTTACTATTGGTTACTATATATCTTACTGTTGCAGATAGTTGGTTACTATTGGTATACTATAAATCATACTGTTGCAGATAGTTGGTTTCAATTGGTTACTACTGGTTACTATTGGTTACTATTGGTTACTATATATCTTATTATCTTACTGTTCAAAACAACTCTCACCTGACTCTGAAGCTCTTCTGCTCTTAGTAGATTTTGTAGCAAAAGCTGCCCTCGCATTGGCGACAGTCTGAAAAACATATCAAGTTAGGTATGCAATGCTAATTTTAACCTTGCACAGTTCGAGTGAACTGTAACCGTTAAGGTATGCAATATTTCTGGATCACTCTAAATTTCTGACTGGGTTCCTTCAAATTCTTTGCAGCTGATACCAAAAATGCATCCCAAATTCCAGGTACTACAAATTCTTGAACTCTGTGTGTCACTAGACATTACTAGCCGACTTTAATTTTCAATAATTTAACTTCCAAGGCTTCATATCCCTGAACCGTTCTGAAATAGTCCCGGTATTATCATCACTTCAATAATTGTTAACCGAATATGACAGTCTTTGCACAAGTTTAGTCAAAACCTGGTTTAGCTAAGACAAGTACTGATTGTAAGACAAAGAATTAAGCAAATAAAACTATCAGCAGCAGGGAAGATCTCATCGCCTCTTAAACTGGATGTTCGGTTACTGCAAGGCTATTGGAATGTTGCAGGAAGAAATACTTTTACTACTTCTTTTGAAGTTTGCACGAAAGTATTAAATACTGTCAACTGCAACGTTTTTGACCACGCACATATTCTGAAGAAATAAAATTAAGCTGTGGAAGTATCACAAATTACAAGAAAATAAGAACGCGATTTAGAGCAAGTAAAGGTATATCAAGCAAAGGTATAGTATCAACGTCTTCTAAATCAAGAAACAATATTTACGCTAGAAAAGAGACTTTTTAATGTTTGTTTTGAATAGTTTGTGGAAAAGGAGCCTACACGAATCAACCTCTTATTCTTGGCATTGTAAATCATATTCATACCAATCATTTTATTCGCATAATGAAAAATCTGAGAATCATAAAACGAGTGCTTTGGAGTGGAATGCTCTCAATTAGGTCCACTGAATCAAATGAAAAAATTGTATCCCATAACATCCTGCATTTTATTAAGATATTTATTGTATAGATTAAGGTATATTCTTGAGGAATAGGAAATCACCAATCTTTACCACCGGTTCTGTTATAAAACTTAAATTAATATTTTGTAAAGTCTTTGACTTCATAGAAAAATCTGCTGAGAAAATCTTCTACATCGGTACTGATTGTCCTATTCCTCAATTCCCATTTAAGTATGCAGAGATCAAGATTTGATTTTCAGTACAGTCACCTCATTTTTGTTTAAAAATCTAACAACTTCATGTTTGTAGAGAAAAAACAGAGGAAGGGCTGAAATCAATCGATGAGGTTGAAAACCAACAATGGTGCCCGCTGATATCTGGCAGCAGTTCAACTGTTGATATCTGGCAGCAGTTCAACTGTTGATATCTGACACTCAGTTCAAATGGAGATGGGAACTTTTGCATTTGTTATACTTATATCCACTTCATTTGCGATATAATGGAATTTTACAAATAGAATTAAACGATTGGTAGTATGTACTCAAATGCACTCAAGTACACCAGAATGCGCTTTAGGGAGCAAGAGAGACGACTGCACTGGGCTGAGTGCTTATCAGAATAATAATCTCCTCAATTCAGAGATCGCATGAATTTGAGAGTGTACCTGGAAGAACGACACTCCTTTACTTCGTGAACCGTTAAGTGTTTTACCAGATTTAGGACTATTATTATTACTCGGGTCCTGTCCAGGGAGTGGGAGTTTTTAATTGGTTTTAAATGAGGACCTTAATTGGTTTTTAATTGGTTTTAAATGAGGACCTTAATTGGTTTTTAGTCACCAGTACCTTAGTCACCACCTTTTATGAAAAACAAATTGAACTACCGTGGACTCTAGTTCTAGGCAATTAAACTAATAATCCTTCATCCTTGCTATCATTGCATTTGATATAATAATAACCACCCTATAATTGCAATGAATTTGGTTCCAATTTTTGCAAATAGGTGAATTATTTAGTATTTTATAAGTTTTACCTCCATTCTAGACGTAGTTCTCTCTACAGTTTTTCTGTTTTGTCTGAAGAGTTTCCCGATTACGATCATACCTCCGACCACAATTACAAAATATGCGATATTCCCGGGTAGCACGAACAGACATCTGAAACATTTGAAAAATTTGAAAATTTTCTGAGAATTTATTGAAGTCTCAAGTCATTATCTTGAATGTTTGAACTTATATGAATGTGCGTATTTTATTATCATCATATGAATAGATTTAGCTTGGAAAATATTTCCGGGTTAATTTTGTTCGATTAATGGATACATTTCGTACGTGGTGCAATTGTTTTGACATATCTTATTTGCATATTACTTTAGCATACATTTGGTCAAATCTGATGTGTTGAGTACGGCTGGAATCATTGACTAATCGCGCTAAAACAAAGAAGAAGAAATTAGAATACATTTCAATAATTCCAGCATTCTAATTTCGCGCGGCTCAGAAGACTATACTTACAAACTGTATATTCGCGTTTTGTACTTGTCGCCACCCAGCACATTTATTACAAAGTAATCGCAACTCCCGGATACTTGGGAAAAACACATCCACTTCCCAAATAAAAACGGGAACAGACCTAATGGGAAAGGACATTTTATTTCCTTGGGAATTTTTATCTGGCCACTTTGGTGTGTTTAACCGATTGTTATTTATTGGTTCTAAACGTTAAATGTTTATCATTGGTAAATCAATGCTCCAATATAACCGGCCGCCCTGGTAATTAACATGGAAATCAAACTTGTTTCTAATGTTCAGGGAAGTCAACCAGCTAATATAAGTCATTATAAGGTTATCTTAGTGTTTATTGTGTAATTACCGACTCCGGCTCCGAATATCCAAGACATGGCACTCAGTCCGATGGGAATTAGTTTATACGTCGTATTTATCTTCTGATAGCTGAAAATAGAAAGTTTAATACTCCTAGAAACTCACAAATAGTAGGAGTTATAAGTTGCAGTAAAAACCTTGGAGTAAAAACAATCTCGTTGTTTTATAGGTGTGATGATTATTGATGGCTTAATTTTGTTTAATTCGGCTAGTCGAGAGAGCGTGATCGCAAGTGTTCTGTATTTATTACAACTGACTGTCTCATAAAATATTCGCACTTTATTTGCCTGATCCTTAGTCATTAGTCAAGTATGCTGCATATTAATTATTAATATGTCCTAAGTATAAGTATATCTTACGTATATATATTAGGTGAGATGAATACACGTTAAATTTATAAGTCTTGACTCGCAAACAAGTAAATTATAGTAATATATGATATATTAAGTATTTGTTAAATTTATAAGTCTTGACACAAACATTAACAAATACTATGCAACCTTTAGATTTTTAGCCAACTTCTACGAAAGCAGTAATTATACAAAAAGAAACGTTCGAATTGTTAGGAAGATATAAGTATTTGTTAAATTTGTAAGGCTTGAATTAATAAAGTTAAACTAAGTAAACAAACTTAGTGATTAAGTAAGTAACTACGTACTTGTAGGGTGAGAGAACAGCAAAAACTCTGAGTGCGGTTGCGATGGCGAGCAGCAGGGGTGCTGCAATGTAAATTATATCCAGGAGAATCCCGTACACCTGAGAGGGGTATGTTATTTAATAAAACAATTATTTTATTATTTAATAAAACAAGATATTGCCGGTGTAATTAAAAAATATCAAATGATATTTTTAGATATGAGTTTATCTACTCTATCAAAGTTTGTGTTTTAGGCCTGCATTTCGGTTCGAATTAAATGGAATTCTTATTTTTCTGATTTGAGAGTGGATAAAATAGTTCGGAAAAATATTGACAAAGATGAAACATATTGCAATTTACATGCGATTTAAAACTTGGACAAAAATACTTCGTGGCGAATGATTTTAAGTAATCACCATGAACAAATATCACAGTGAAATATGACTAGAAAGTATGATATAATTTTACTTATATCTAATTTCATATTTTAATAATTTTACCTGACAGAGGATGATGTTGCCAGCTTTACTGTCCCTATAAGTACTTACTGTTCTGTCAGATAGCAGATTACTACAAAACACTATCCCAACTATCCCTGAAAGTAAAGAATATTTTATCTTAAATTTGTGATTGTTAATTAATTAATTAATAATTTGTGAATTTTATGTTATCTCATCGTCGTTGGAGACTAAAAATGTATAACAAGATAGGTTGTTAGTATTGTTATGTAAAATTAAAGCAAAGCTCTTCGTCCTCGTATCCTGATAGTGATACCAAAAGAAAAATGTCCATTACACATTCCATAATATTCCTGGTGCTGTGGTTATAGGTATAACGGTACAGCCACAAACATGAACTATTAAGCCATCTGTCAACAAACACAGCCCGCTTGAGCGTACGTGCTGGCTGGTTCAGACTTATTTCTCTGACAGTCCCCTTTTTAATTCCAATTTTAAGTTTTAACTCTGGCAATTCTTCTTACAGACCCCAAAACATTACATAAGCAGCCTTTCAACACGAAGTAAGTTGAAAGCCATACAACGTTTACTTAATGACATATAAATAACCAATTATATCAAATTGAATCCACCTGATATAAAAGCAACTTGAACGAACTTATTAAATGTCAATAACGAATTAAGTTCAATTTACCTGATATGAAATCGTTGAAAGCAACTTGAACGAGTATGAGGGACGTACCCTGTAGACTACGTTTACTGGTGAAAAAAGCGTAGATAACGAATGCGTTGACGAACAGAGTAGCTATTGATAACATCATGAATACCACTCCTGAAAATTAGAATTTGTGGATATATAGTCGTAGTGATTTGCTAGTTGTAAATTATATGATAGGTTTAAAATAGCAGATTTGATAGCGAGATTGACTGATAAGACAACATTAATCGTTAGAGTTAGACTCAACCAAAGCACCAGTTCACGTTTTACTTTTTTTAATGAGTCTTTTAGTCAACTTTAAGTATGTAATAAAACATATAAATTTCTAAGGAAATACCATCGAATCTCCAAATTCACATCTAGTGTGTGTCTTACCTACAGTGAGGTCCGCATGTCTGATCCAGTAAACCTCACGGGGTTTATCATACCCACACGAGAACTCCGTCGAGTTCATGAAATGCTGAAATAATAAAGTAGGTAATAAAACAGAAATAATAAAGTAGCGTTTTAATACTTTCAACACTATATATATAAAAGTAAATATAATTATATAAATTGTTAGTAATATATAGATCTATACATTTTATGTATCTATACTAAAAATAATCTGAGGACGTAAAAATGGTTTTTTAGAAGGGTGATCACATTTTGTTTTGAAAGTGGAATCTATGTCTATTCAAATACAGTTTGATAGTTTCTCTTCTCGCATATGGTAGAGGCGAAGCAGTAAGTTATTACAAGTTAAAGTAAAGCTGTAAAGAAGTTAGTAACGGTAAACTTGAAGTAGTAAATAATGGAATATAATGGTAAATATAGGTGGATCAGTAAGTTAATAATGATGCAGTATCATAGATGCTGGTGTGGCGCGGACCAGTGCAACAACACCAACACAAAACTAACTATCCGCGCTGAGTAGTACTGACTTTTGTTAAGGCACTTGACGTGGTGAGAAATGAAACCAGACGAAGTGGGAATTACAATCTGACAAGTATCTGAGAAGTTTTGAGAAGGGAGGTATTCGGAGGTAGGCTGCAGGAGGCGACAGGTGCCAATGAGGTGACAGTCGAAACCCTTTCTTTACTTCTTTAAAAAGGCTTCCTAATTTCTTATTAATATTACCACAACAGTTAAAAGAAATAAAGATACAGAAGGTTTTGTGTTGGCGAATATAATTCTATGCTGACTCAATGCTTCAGAATACAATTTTCAAACAATAATGGATAATAGGTGCTAAAAACTAAGCCAATCACTTTGTGCAACTACGATTAGCAATACCCGATAATAAACATATTTGCTATCATTAATTAAAATGAACCACGTGGTTTACAACCGACAAAAAGGTCCATCACTCAACACTCGGTTAGTAGCTGTTAACGAGGCATCATGTCTTTTCTCTTCACTGGTCTTTTACCCCTTGCCAGCTGCATGCGGTCAATTCTTTATCTTAAGACAAATCACCACACCTAAGAATGATGTGCTGCGATGCTGCATAGTCATGTTAAACTTATAACTTGGTCCACCAGAGCTACGATTTTAGGAAATACGTCTTGTGAATAACGAATCAGTCAATGACTTATTGTTGTCGGCTGAATATGTACACTAAACATACTAAAAACATGACTGAATATTTAGAACTATGAGCTATTAATATGCTGCAAAGCTACTCATGATGCGTCTTTAGACGTTTCATAAATTAACGATTTAATAAAGTATTAATGCGAAATAATATTGGAGATACTAGGTAAGCTGATGCTAATCATACATTGATGGAGCTACACGAATCTCTCGCAAAATCTGAATCTATGGTTCTTGAACGTGATCCTCCATATCATTGTTACCCGAACCCCAACTACTCTTACTGTAACCTCTAACTATAACTACACAAACCCTAGCAAAAAGCTAGACTCTAAGTCTAACCAATAACGTAGAGGGGGGGGGGGGGGGATGTAGACATTAGACGTCGTTAGGTACCTAACGACGCATTGTCCAGGACTAGTTTTTGTCTAGCGTCTGATAAACTTACATTTTACTTTAGAAACAGTACATTTGCCTACATTCACTGCTCCTGTAACGACAATCATATCTGACCATACTGACTTATATCTATATCTACAAATGTTCTGATTCGTACGTTACGTGTGAAAGAGTGAAAGAGTGAAAGAGTGAAAGCGTGACATTTCTTTTTTTCTTCGTAGGGGGCAGTGGTCATGTGCAGGATCACTGTAAGATAGAGCATTGGAGCCCTTTGCTTAATAGACCGGTAAAATTGTATAGGTGGAAAAAGAGTTAAACTTTGTTTGTGTGACCTGTAAACAGCCAATACTTTTTCTCAATCAGAAGTACTAACTTGATCCCAAACCTAGTAATATAAATTCATATCACCGAACCTGCAAGTATTTACGGAAGGGTAAGAGCTTCGCCAAAATTTCAATCAACCGATGAAAAACGTATACGTTAAACCACTAATGCTATTTCTCATGCTGAAAAACCACAAAAAAACAAGCTTTTAGCTGAGCATGCGCCCGCAAGAAACATATCTTAATAAACACCGCTTAAATATCAACTGTACAGTGTACACTACCACACAGCGCATGAAACTCGGCAACATTTTGAGGCTATAATGTTTCATCTTCTTTTGGACACTGCGGAGAAAGAAACATGTTTTCAGCCGGTAATTGACAGGTGAGAGCCGCAACTCACGAGCCAGACTCGTAACACTAGCTAGACCTGAACTACTTGGTAGAGCCAGACCTGTTACAAAAGCAGGGCAGTATTAGAGTACTGTCATGGTTATTTCGGAGTATTTTAGGGTATTTAAAAGTACTATTTCAGAGTTCCGGTACCTTGCCATTGTGTTGGAATATTAGACCAGACTATTATTGATTTACACCCTGTCACTGGCTCGAATCTTGGCCAAATAGTCCGAGTTGGTTACCAGATAATTACTAGCCTTATATAATAGGCAATATAATTATATAAGAACATAAATAAACTGAACAGTGGTCAGAACCGTAATTATTTTATAACTGTTTTATAACGTCGTTGGTTGCCAATTTAAGGTTGAGTAATAAACGATCACGTTAGACTGGTAGACTCGGCAATTGGTTATCACTTTAGAAGCAATTTGTGTCAGCTTACTGTTATTATAGGAGGTCTCAATATTTATTTAGACCGGATTATTATAAAATAGACTAATAGCTGACGTCACTCCTAGGAACCGTGAAATTAGAAGTTACCCAGACTTTGTCTGTGGACCAGTATCAATTTGTTGAACATTTATTAATTTTAAGTTTAGTTGATAATACAGGGTCGATTTTTTTATCTCCTTATTCTGTTAACTTCTGTAAACGTTGCATCGGCTGTTTGGATTATCGCAAAAATTTCAGTAACAAGTCTGAACTGGTTTTTGGAGATTTAAAACCGATTATTTTTGAAAAGATTTATTACCCTGGCATTTCCTATAGGAAATGCCAGGGTAATAAATCTTTTCAAAAACTATCGAATCTCTTTGAGGATGTCTTAGTCTATTGTCTTACTCTTTGATATTATTAACTGGATATGTCGACCATGTATCTTTATGAGGAAAAAAATTGCAATGAACAATGAACAGTTCATATAAATTGATGCCGTGAGATTTCTTTGTACTATTCTAATTTTAGAGATCAAACACAATTTATCGGCGAATCCGATGTTTAGCAAACATGTTTAAACACGTACTAATTGTTACTCAGTACAGGCACGAATGTTTAAAATCCTTTGAGTTACGCGACAAATCGTAGCGTTTAGAATAAATAGAAAACTTTAACTTTAATGTTATAATTTTAACATTTACCTGACATTAAATTTTAAACTAGATAAGTACCTGTTTAATTTTCAAATTTAAAAATTAAAGACAATACGTCGTTATTTAAACTATCGCCGTTTCTCGTGAAGCTCATGGTTACATCATCACTTCAACTTTAAAACAACTTGGGAAATCCCCCTGAAAAACTCGTCTAGTTAAAAAGATATCAGTTTTAGACAATAACAGAAACCAACTTTAATTAAGAAATGTCTAAAAGGTAAAAGCATGACACGAACCCAGCTCTTCTAGAGAATATGCTATCGTTATGAATCATAACGATATATATATAATAAATCATAACGATAATATGATAAATTATGGAATTATGTGAGTCTCAAGATGTCGTTATACCTTAAAAACTTGGGTTGAAATATATTGAAAACAGTAAATAACTTAATTGGTTAATGACGGAATCGGTTAATCAGTAATTACACATAAATTGAATAAAATATTAAATACGCACGTAATTGTGCCGGATAAGTCCTGTTAAACGTTGGACAAGTAGTAAATAAATAAATAAACAGTAAATCAAGAGCAACGGGTATTAAGTGCGGTAAATGAAAGTAAGGAAAATAAATAATTAGTTTCCCATGACTAAAATTAACCTGTCATGACTATTGACTAGTATGACTATAGGATTTAGCTAGGAAGCAAGGAAATACAACACGGGTAATTCAGCTGGTGAGTCAGCTACACGGAAACGATGTGGCATCCCACTTAACCTTTACATTCCTGCGGGCACTCCACCAATCTGCTGACAGATAAGTTAGCTAATTAAAATAGTTTGGATTGTGGATGATCGGTTACTTTCGGTTTGATGTTATAGGTGAGAGGAATGTGGAATGAAGGCATGTTTGAAACTGAACAGTTGGGAGTTGACAGCCAACTTTAGTTGAGAGTTGACAGCCGCTGCTGTCAACATCCAGCAGGTATAATAAGGAGTAGGGTGTGTGGAGAGAGTGGACTGCTGCTGCTATGCATAGTGGGCTGTACAGCATACAGACACCATGGTAAGTAAATAATCGTGACGGGCAGGCACATACCGCCACCGTGTCACTAGCGCAATTTTATATATTTTACTTTTATATTTTATTGAAGTCTGCACTAGTCACTGGTGCTATTTCATTGGAGTCTGGGGGATTATGAAAATATTGTGCTGTGTTTGGGTATATTATGTAGAAAATAAGCAAAGAAAATGTCGTATGATGCAGGGTATTATTATAAATAGCATCTTTGATCCTTATTACACAACTAAAGGGAAGCTTTGATGTCTGTTCAAATAGATTTTAGGAACACCCTGTACTATCAGTATTACTATTAACTTATCATTTATCCATTTGATGGTCTGCGGAACAAGGATCAGCACGTGACAATAATACCTCCCACGGTAATTTAGCAAACATAAGACAAATAATGAGATATGGATACTGAGTAATGAGTACTCGTCTTATTGATACAGTTAGTATACTCAATACTAATCCTGATACTCGGCCATTAGCGTTATTGACTGTCATTGACAGCCGGACAGCGCATGCATTGCATCGTTTGCTTGAAAAGTTAAAATTATGATATATAATAGTTAAGTTGCTGTCAAGTAATACTTAAGTTGCTGTCAAGTAATACATGTAATTATGGTAATCATCAGTGATTAGCGGTGATAATGTTACGCTATTTTGCGAGGAAAATAATAACGTTGTATATTACACTATTCACAAAACCTTGTATTATATAAATATGTAATTATAATTGTAACATTATATAAATGTTATATAATGATAATCAAGGTAATTATATTTATCATGTGTTGGTTATTGTCCACAATATAAAGCATTAGGATGTGCATCATATTGGGTATGTAGCCGTCGCGTCGTAAAACCTTACCCATCAAGAAAACTGACGAAAAATTATAGGTTAACAGATCGTATAGTAGAATATGTTGTATTGTAGAATATGTTATGTTGACATAATTGTAATATAATCTGTGATGTAGTGGGTAATATAATGTTGGTTATTATTCACTATACGGTAAGTTATTGTTCAAATTATAAATCTTTACAATTTAGCCTTCACAAAGCCCTAATTTCACTACAAAACGATCGACTAGTCCGATTAATGAGGCTACAATGCTATACGGCGCGGAAGACATTTCTGTCGAATTTATAGTTTGAACAAATGACCCGAATTAAATTCAAATTATTACATAATAAAATTAAGAATTGAATATTAGAAGAACTAGACACAATACCATTCGCTAGGCACTAAGACTAAGTACATACAAATCACACAAAGAATAACTTAGTACCACCTAGCGTACCAACTGGGTATAACTTAGTACCACCTAGATACCATCTGGGTATAACTTAGTACCACCTAGATATCATCTGGGTATAACTTAGTACCACCTAGGTACCAGCTGAGTATAACTTAGTACCACCTAGGTACCAGCTGAGTATAACTTGGTACCACCTAGGTACCAGCTGGGTATAACTTAGTACCACCTAGGTTCCAACTTGGTATAACTTAGTACCACCTAGGACCTAGGTACCAGCTGGGTATAACTTAGTACCACCTAGGTTCCAACTGGGCATAACTTTGTACCACCTAAGTACCAACTGGGTATAACTTAGTACCACGTAGGTACCATCTGGGTATAACTTAGTACCACCTAAGTACCAACTGGGCATAACTTTGTTCCACCTAAGTACCAACTGGCGGTACTGCAGCGGAACGTGACGAATAAACGCGGCTAATCACTAATCAGCACATTTCCATTATTAAAGCACAAAGCACTGATCTGCACTCTTGAAATTTGTCTGTCAGTACAGGTTTCTCTTACAATGTACACACGTTAAAAGATGTGACAGTACGGGGGGGTTCATATTATGAAGGAGTCAAGGGTTCATATTATAGTATTATGAAGGAGTCAAGAAAGTAGTGTATTCTCCTCAATTTGTACATGGTCTACTCTAATAGCCATGTGTGTTGTTATTAGTGTTGTAGACGTGCATACTGCTATAAAGCCTAATCAGGTATATGGGAACTCAGAAATTTGGTATAAAATATTTCTTTGTGTTTGAGAAGAGTTAAAAAGGGATGTTTGATAGCATGATAACATGGATACTGGATAGTAAGATGATCTAAGGAAGTAGTCATGTGATACGAAACAGAGTGATAGAACGAAAGTAAGAATGATAGAGAGCATTAGAATAATTGTTGAAATACCAATAACCCTGGATACTTGAACAGTAACCCTGGATCACTTTCATCTAGTTCTACAAAGTTGCGTTCTCTCTAAATATTCATTGCCTTTCCCAGTGGCGTAACGAAGGGCCCTGCTGACCCCGCTGTGCAGGGGGGCGCCGTCTTAGGGGGGCGCCAAATCGTCGTTTGAATGTGGGACAATTTCGAATTTTCCTTTGTGTCTGGGTTCAGCCATCCACGCAATTAATAAACTGTTCAATATTAATGAACCATAATGAAGACTTTTGATTATAGCTTTATAGGCCCGTCCCTCGGTTTACCATGGAAATTATTGGTTGGACTTGGAGTTTGGACAGAATTGCTGTGTTATGGCCATATATAGTTTGCATACTGTGAGAATAAAAGAATCAAATAAATAACCAATTATGAAATGAAATAAGTAGTGAAAATAATATATTTATATGCTATTTTCACTAATTGGTTAAGTATTTGATTCTTTTATTCTCTATAATTTATAAATTTAAACCGATTTAATAATAATTCCCGTATTAAGTATAGCTGCTTTTAAACTCACCTCAATACCGCTTATCCTCTCCATATCCTCCCAATCTTGTATCACGTGGTATTAATAACCTATTGTCTACTGGCCAAATGATATCAAGTATCTAGTACTAGGAGTAAATAAACGCTAGAACCAAGCACAAAACAGAATCAAGTAGAAGCTGCACCACGTTGAAGCTAGTAAAATTAGTATTACTTATTTAGTATCCAACGACTAGAACGAAGCAAACAAGGGTCGAGAAGAAATGCAGTGCACTTTAACAGGGAGCTATCAGAAGAGTAAACCGTTTAGTGGACCATTACTGAGAAAACCAGTCCCTAGCGAGCAGAAATACTAAGGAACAAGTAAAAAGCGAGCATAAAACCAGTCATTAGCTTGAATAAAACCAGTATATACTTATATAACAACCATTCACTAGCCTTTATGCACAGTGCACACTCGAAAGAAGCAGCTCGACCTCAAATGATGTCTTTACTAATTCGTAAGGTCAAGATGAATCCTAAAACACGATGAGACAATGACTATTCATGACTATTCATGACTAATCATGCGCAAGGCATGACTCTCAAGAAATGCTTAAACTCCAAGATATATCTTAAAACAAGACACCATTGCTTGATCTCTATTTATTCTTAAGAGGTATTTCTAGACAGAGGAAATTAGAGATGCGTAAGAGACCACCAAATTGAGGACAATTGCCGAAATTTAAGTGTAACACGGTTGTAGCGTAACAAAGGTCCACAGTGATAATTATTTGATAAAATTGACAAATTGTAATTACTTCCCGAGGGAACATGGGATGGGCAGCAACCACGGCGTCCACGGGGTGAGTTATACGATTGTTTACCATACGTAATTTCTGTGTGATTAGTCTCTTTGTTTACGCGTTTTACTATTCTCGTACGTGTTAACAAGAACAAATTTACAACTAAAGCATTTGTGTTCTGCGTCTGTTGTAGACCCTCAATTTATAACATGAAAATCTGCTGCTGAAGCTGTAGTAACCTTAGCTTAGGAAATACCTTTAGCTTAGGACAATCTAATGACAACCTCATCTTAGGACAAAAATACAGACCAGTTATACTTATACTCATAGATATGTTGTTGTAGAACCCTAGGCAACTCTAGGCAACTGTGGGCCAAAGAAACATATAAATTACATTTTAAAGTTTCATATAAAAAAGTGTCAGAAACGTTAAATAATGATTAAGAAGTGAGTGTAAGAGCAAGTCTACGTGAACCTAGTTAATAATTCCATACGAGAAGTGAAGGATGTTTTGAAGTGTGGCAGCAAATATGATTCAACTTGAAGTGCAGATATAGTGACCATATTAGAAACCATAAAATGCCTAAATTAGAAAGATCTGTCCATTCCTTCACTATTCATTATCCAATCAAGATGCTGCCCCTCAAACTCCAAACACTACACAATTAATTACGATATAATGCATTTGCAATCATTTTACAATCCATAGGCATAGAAACACTAAGCCATTGAAGCGATGAAACTCGGACAAAATCAATAATTCAATTGAATCATTTGATCGTGGAGGCTCAACTGGAGCTAAATTTATTAATTACCTCGCTCAAAAGTACTTACCATTTCTTGTCAAAAGACCTTGCTCGAATTTGTCTCGCGATAAAACGAAATTATGTATTCTGACAATGAAACCAACATATATAGTGCATATTGCTTTTTCAATCATGTGACAGTCTCGGATTAACCATAAGTGCGTTATCCTTGCTGAACAACAGATTGCACGTGCAAAAATAACAGATTGCACGTGCAAAAACAACAGGTTGTACGTGCATTATTCTCATTTCACCAGGTACTCATGGCGATATATTATTCCTTAAACTGCGACTCGGAGAAGCCTATGTCATAGTTATTGAATCAACGATGGATACAAAGGGATAGTGATCTTAAGACCAGCTCTCACACATGAACACAAAAGAAGGCAATATCTTATCTACTTTAGCAGACTGTAGACAGTGGAGGTATGGACCAGGGTCATTAGTTGTCTGATTGTGGGAAAAATGATTGTTGTGAAAACCGGTGTTATCAATCATAAAAGACCATTGTTTTTATAAATTGAATTGATTTATTGACCTCCATATTATTGGGAAATTGTTGCATTTGGTCCATGTGAACTGCCGAGTGCCAAGTGCAAGGACTATTGACATCAAACCAAGACAAAAGTTGGAGAAGAGACAACTATAGCATCATCCATGAAATATGGTCCTATTCATTCGAGAAAAAAAGGAATTAACATCGCCAAGAAAATGTCAACCGATAAGTTTTTTGTAGCTCATGACCAAGAGAAAGACAAAGAAGACTTCATCGCAAAACACTGAACATACTATAGTGAAGACCCTTAATCTAAACTAGGCATTGAAAACACACGAAGAAATCACAGCTGACGAATGCTCTTAACCCAGCTGACGAATGCTCTTAACCCAGCTACTGAACTATGGTATACTGCTTTGTTGACATAGACTGGTGATATGGTGCGAGGTAGGTTAAGTGTTGACATGGACTAATAATTTTAGTCGAAATAGCCTAAACAGGTTTTAAAATAAGCTTTTACAGCGTCAGCTAGCATTGATATAAAATATAAACTGACATTTTTCAGACATTAAAAACTTAGTTTTTCTTTTAGTAGGCGAGACAAATTCGATTTAGTTCAGCGACCTCGTGATATCTGGAAAGATAGTGCGAGGTTTAAACCGTGTCAGGACCAGGGTCTGACAGTGGTACCTGGCACGACCACTGTAAGTGAGTGTCACCACTTAGAGCAAATCTGTTGAAAGTAACTGTCAAGTTATTTCATATGTTCAACACGCGTTTAGATGGAAGTTAGAGTCTATCTAAGTAAACTATAGGTAAAAATATAATATTAATCATAAGCTAAAATGTACTAATCTTTGTATTCTAAATGGGGAAAAAGAAGAAACATTGTCAGTCAGTCGAGAAAATTGTCAGTCAGGCTATATGGCAGCTTTGTAGATGTTGTGACTATGCTAGTAGTGGTCCCAGGCTTGCGACTGGAATTGCGGTGAGTCTATGGAACACAATTGTTGTTAAGAATTCGGTCTGCACTCTGCTAACTATGAAGCGCAATTGTATGTCTTGACAAAATAAAACGTTTTCTGACAAGTCTCAAACCAACAAAAAGCATTTTAGTGTCAATATATAATATATAGCATACCCCTACAATGATGCCCCTTATAGTCAGAGTTATTTAAACTATCGGGCACGATCCACCGCAAAGTTGTTTTTAATGGCAGTGTTTGAGCAGATATTTGTAGGTTTATAACCTACCAAGACGCGCGCCGATCGTTGGACTGATCGTCGACGGTCTTGCTCATGTTTAATTAACAATGTAATAGTATTACTAATACTATTAGTAATATGCCATCGTGGAGAGGTAGTACGTACTGCTTTTCTGTTTATACGTGAAAAACCTGAGCATGCAACATGCAATCCGAAAGTCTTCATTTTCATATATTTAATAATAATAATTAATTATGCATAACGTTAACTTGTAAACCCTAGAAGTAGACGTTTATCCAGTATCTTTATGAATCGTATACTTCATTCTGAGCTTTGTGTCACTAGGCCATTAGGAAAGCTGGGATTGGCCGTAAAATTTTATAAGAATAAATGTCTTTTGTAACATTCATTCCTCAAAATTGAAATACGACAAAGAAGTAATTTATGAATAAAGTTTGCTCTAACCAGGGCCCTCTCGCTTGCAGTAGCGCGCGACCGCCGAAGGCGGCACAGGTTTCTATTTTTCTACTTGTGAAACAAGCGCAGTACGCTTACACACATTACCTGGGGACCTCAGGCTATCATTTTCATAAACATATAGAGATTAGGCGGAATGACAGGCTGAGCGCGGCCCAGTAAGTACACACATGGCTATGTGAAGAATAAAGTTAACGTTGGCAAAAATTGGCTACATCTTGGTTAATATTAGAAATCAGTAGATAAGACAGAGGTATAGAATTGCTCGCTTCTATTGGAAGCTATATAAGCAACACATCCTCTTTATCTGATCTTTATCCACCACATGCACAAGGAAGATCAAAGCGACTCACTTTATCACATATAGCTAAGATACCAAAATAAATAACCAAATAAGTAATAACCAAATAAATAAAACAGAGGATACCCCCATTTAATTAGTATAATAAATCACACAATGGGACCTGCAATATGAATAACATTAATAACAATAACATTAATAATAATAATAATAACATTAATAATAATATTAATAACATTACCATCACAGTAAGTAGTGGGAATACTATCAAACACCCGAACTAAGTAAACCATGCCACTAATAAAATTGTACCCCATTGTTGGGTAAAGGTACTACCAACTTCAGGTGGGGGTTATCAAGTTATTATACCGTAATGGTACTTGCCACCGCTGTCTTTGTAACGACACTATTCTAGACACCTTGAGGTTCGTTACACGTGGTTTGAGGTTTGTAACACGTGGTTTGAGGTACTTACCACGTGGTTTGGAGTGAGTGACACGTGGTTTGGAGTGAGTGACACGTGGTTTGAGGTTTGTAACACGTGGTTTGAGGTTTGTAACACGTGGTTTGAGGTACTTACCACGTGGTTTGGAGTGAGTGACACGTGGTTTGGAGTGAGTGACGGCGTGACGCGTGAGCTTGTTTGAGGAGTATATCGTATGTGCTTTCAATACTGTTAGATTTGCACGAGTTGATTGTTTAATACCGTTAAATGTGCACGTGTTGCTTGTTGGATGGTCACGTGAGAGTTGTTAAAGGAACGTGTGATGAAGAGGTCTGTACTTAGTTAACAATCCTCATAGACGTACGATAACCGATTATCTGGTACTGATACAGGTCCCCTTTGACGATTCAGCCATGGTAATAGCACCTGTGATTAGATTTGATAAATATCTAGTGTGGTGGACACGTGTGTACAGACCGGGGTGGAAGTTTCGTGGTCATCTTGTGTAGCTGTAGATAACAACTTGTTGTTGTTGTGTACATAAATCAGTACACAAATGGGTACAAAAAGCTTTGTGTAAGCATAATAGCCGTCGCATGATTGCTTTAACAGGTACATGTAATATGACATGTATATATACGTGCATTTAGTTAATATTTCATGACATGTCAGTACATTAACAGAACTATGGAACTGTTACTGTGGAATCAAAAAATTTATCATAAATTTAGTCAAAATTGTTGTAAACCAAATTTATTGAGACTAAACTTTTCAAAAGCAGACCAAAATTTCAGTAGAGCATATATAAAATGAATATTATTGAGCTTACATTGCTTATAATAAATATAATTACTAATTACAACACTAAAAATCTATTACATTTATTGAGAATTATGTAATGTAACGTGATGGAAATATTTTAAACGGGCATATCCTGTCAAAACCCAGGATGCACTCCATGAAGAATTCGTTGTAACTTTGTTTGAAAAGCATTAATATTAATAATGACATCACCGTTCGTACTGCCGAACTACTTTGACTATTATACAAAATAAAAAATATACATGTGTAATCCACTGATTCTATGTTTTCACATTCTCTTACTTCCTTTTCCCATCAGGCATTATTTGCATCTAGTTTAACTCATTGAAGTAGAACTAGAATTTAGCCTTTAAAATCGCTGTTATATGTTATAATAAACCGTTAAATATCGCTAACTGTACACAGCTGTTCCTACTGCATGAAATAAGAAATTTGATGTTATGTTATGTATAACTTATGGATGTAATGTTGGCTCATCGTTAGAATGTTCCCAGATTTTATTTCTTTATTGCAACAAATCATTTAATCAACATGCCTGACGTTAAACTTTAAAGTGTGAATAGATATGCGAAACCGAAAAATTACTAGCTGAATAATGGAAAAATCAGATAAATGAAATGGAACATGGTCTCGAAAAGTCAAAAAATGTGATTAAAATTGTTGTAGACTAAAAATTTGCGAAATTGGTGACTAAAAAATTATGGTAACCAAAATTTTTGTAACCAAATTTATTGTAAACAAAATTTATTGGCCTTAAGGTAGCAAATAAAATGTTTTTCCGTATGTAAAAAAAGCAATGACAGCTCAATTGGTTGGACAATTTGACGCGTTTGATAGAGAGACACTGACAAATATTGCTTACCAGAATTGAAACAAGTATTTTGTTGACTTAAAACTGGATATTAAACATAACGAAGATGCCTTGTTCGCGCCACTAAAGCCTTATCATAATTCGTGAAAAACGACATAAAAAAAGCTAAAATTGCCTTTTAGTTTTGCGTAAGAGCTCGTTTTTCCCAAATAAACGCTGGCTTATAAGCACTTAACAGGCGATGACCATAATTAAGTGACATGAGAATGATCAGGTTGGGAGCTCGCCCTTATTACTTATATATTCTGGAAAATCTTTAATTTGTTGTTAATTGGGTTCAATGCAAGTCATTAGAGCTTGAGTGCCTATAACCTTTCATCGAGATGAATTATTTCACGGTCGGCGCATAACAGACAAAAAATTACCTAAGCCCAGTGATAAAATCTCAAAGCAGTGATGCACGCCGCCGCCATACGCCGCCGCGCCGGCACATTTTCACACGCCGCCACGCCGATACCTCTCAAGTCGGCGTGGCGTGAAAGGAAATAGAAAGAGTATGGAGCCAGTCGGGGTTGATTTTGAACTCTAGGAGATCCAAATTGTCCAACGACAATGTTAAGAATTTGATTTTTCTTAAATATAATTGTAAAAACCACCAAATATAATTGTAAAAACCACACTTATTACATCATTATATCATGCACGCACGTACGCCACAATTTTTGTGGGCCTGGAAAGTGGAAATTCAAACCTAAATTTTGACAAAATTATGTTCCACGCCGCCGAACGCCGCCACGCCGGGCCATTTTGGGCACGCCGCCGCCGGTTGGCGAAAAATGAACCGGCGTGCATCACTGTCTCAAAGTAGGCATCGATATGTTCTGTCTTAAACTAGAATGAAGGTTTTCTCCCGATTCTATGGCATTTTGTCAAAACCGTAAAAAGTTTTACTGAGTAGTAATAATTAAACCCGTAGGAATGAATTTTTAAATTAAAGTCAAATTAAAGTAAGATTTGCCTTATGGCTTATCGGCTAACATTTTAAAGGGTAAAACGTGGCCGCCACAAGCGGCTGTCAGTGTCACGCCCATGTTTAATTAGGCCGCTTACATTTTTCACTGATGAATAATTTCACCACCTAATTTAAGCTAGTCACATTTTTTGCCGATCAAATATTTTTTAGCTATCATATTTTTCTCATAAAATTATTAACTGCAATAACACGTCCGAAGCGTACGAAAAATGCATGTTTTTTTTTCCAATTCCATGAAACTCTCATTCAAATGTTATCTATCTGTAATAAATGCGATTATTTCAAAGCATTAACTTTTAAATGAATTAATTTCTTAAT